TGCTGATTTATTTGAGAGAGAGCAAGAGCACACAAGTGACGGGGAGGAGCAAGCTATCCTATGCTATCATAAGTCAAAACCCTGACTGTGGGAAGTTCTTCTGTCAAGCTGACCACTAACTGTCTTCAGTTCCCCCTTGGGTCTTCATCTTCCCTTGGGCCCAGAAATAATTGGTTGCTACTTACTTCTGCTCATTTCATTACAGCTCTGCAGATACTTGAGGGCAGTTCTGTTCTTGCCCAGAATAACCTGGCTTCCTTCAAAGATTTCTCTTATAACTTGACTTCCAAAGTCTTCCTTATACATTAGCTCAGTGATTTTTTTTTTTAAAGATTTTATTTATTTATGTGACAGAGAGAGACAGCAAGAGAGGGAACACAAGCAGGGGGAGTGAGAGAGGGAGAAGCAGGCCTCCCGCGGAGCAGGGAGCCCGATGCGGGGCTCGATCCCAGGACCCTGGGATCATGACCTGAGCCGAAGGCAGACGCTTAACGACTGAGCCACCCAGGCGCCCCTAGCTCAGTGATTTCTTAACCAGTCATACATACACGATGATGATAGCTAACACGAGTTGAGTGCCTAGCTATGTACCCAGCTCTGTGCTGGATGTTGTTTATGCTTCATCATTAAGGCGGTCCTACAAAATAGGTGCAGTTATGAAGCGCATCCCACATACGAGGAAACCAAGGTGCAAAGAGACTAAACAGCTTAGGTTACAGAGCACGCATGTGGTATAATCGGACTCTTTGACTTCAGAGTTCATGCTGTGAATCACATTAAATGGCTAGAATTAGGGGCTCCAGTCTGTGCCGATGAGAATAATTCTGCTTCAAGACTGTAACATGGGGCGCCTCGGTGACTCAGTTGGTTATGCATCTGTCTTCAGCTCAGGTCATGATCTCAGGGTCCTGGGATCTAGCAGAGCCCGGCATCAGGCTCCGTGCTCAATGGGGAGTCTGCCTCTTTCCCTCTCCCTTTGCCCTTCCCCCCATGTGAGCCCCCCTCAGATAAACAAAATATTTTTTAAAAAGACTATAACATGGACATCCTGAGTTTCCAGTCTGGTGACCTGTCCAGTGGATTGTAGATGGACTTGCCCTATAATTGCGTGAGCCAACCCTTAAAATCCATCTCTCTCCTCCACTTTCCTCTCCACTCTATATATACGCACCCACATATATACACACATATCTTCTATTGGTTCTGTTTTTCTGAAGAACCCTGACTGACAAGGGTCCTGTCTCCCTACCTCCCGCCTGCAGGTGTCTTAATGAGGTATCTAAGATCACCAAGTCCTGTCAGCATAATATCATCAATAAACCGGACCAATGTGATCCTTGTGGGGTGGCGAGATGGTCGTGCGGAGCTGGAGGACTGACCTGCTGAAGGCAGGCGTGAGCTGCTGTCCCGGCCAGTGATGTCAAACTGATTTGGAAAAATGTTGGGGTTCAGAGCTGATGGCCAAGAAAGAATCCTTGAGCCATCTTCTGTGTGAGAAGGTGGTTTTATTACAGCATGGGGACAGGACCCGTGGGCAGAAGGAGCTGCACCGGGGTCATGAGGAGGGGCCGATTACACTTTCAAGTTGGGAAGGGCTTAGGGATAGCATAAGTCTCTAAGGAATTTTGGAAACAAGGTTTCCAGGACTTTGAGGGGGCTAGCTATTGTTGGGAAAAGGTCATTTATTACTGTCTAATAAAACCTTAGTCATGAGACCCTTCACATGTATATCAGTGACCATATGCTTGTGGGATGACTGCCAACATGCATCCTGGAGATAGAGATAAAGGAAGTTTCCAAAGGAATTTTTATATGCTAAAGTAGACTTGCCAGAATCCTGGGGGGTCGGGCTAAGATTGCCCTTTGGCCTTAACAAAGTATTAACGTCGAGGCAGCTGAGTTCCTAGAGGAATGTCATCCTGCCTGTTTCAAGGACTTGTCGGTGGGCTGTAAATAGTAAGGAAATTTAATTTTTCTTTGGCCTTTGTTTCCCACATCAAAACTACTCTGGTATGGGAGTATTATTCCACTAACCGTGTGATATTGTGTAAGTCGCTTTCCTTTCCTCGGCCTCCGTTTTCTCCTCCGTAAAATGAGAGGGTGGGGTTAGGTGACCTTCAAAGACCCTGTTATTCCTTCTAATCCTCAACCAGTGCGCAGGCCCAGAGCCTCTGTCTTGCCACTGTGGGATACTGACAGCCTGTCAATTTCTCTCAGGTTTTCCTCCTTGAGAGATCTAGCCGGTGACCTACCTCTTAGCCTGCTGTGCAGCTAAAATGCAGCCCAGAGGCGGTAAAGACCATGATTAAGGGCACTGACTCTAGCAGGTGGCCAGACTTTGAGTCTGAGATCCACCAGCCCTTGGCTGTGAGGACACCTTGAGCAATTCACTTCGCCTCTCTTAGCCTGTGTCCTCATCTGCTAAACGAAGACCAGTGTCCCTACCTCGAAGGACTGAGGATTAAATTAGATCCTGATTATAAAGTGCCTATCACATCTTAGCTACCTGAAGAGTTTCTAGGCGTCCTTTCTCCCTGAATCCATGTGGTCACAATCTTTCAAAGCTCCAACGTCTTCATATATCAAATGGGAATAAGGAACCCTACCGGGGACAGTCCTAGTAACTTCACATACTGCTTTAATTTACTGAAAGTTATCTGCAAGACAAAGGTTCACAATCATCTTTTCCACTAGGAAAACGGGAATGAAAGGATTCTTCTGTAGGGCAGCCAGTGAGTCTAGCTGAAGGACATACACTCCATTCCCTTAAGCACTAGGTGGGGGGTTAGGGGTGCAGGAATGAGCCAAGAGAGCAGAGGGGAGCCCCTGAGATCTGATTATTTGGGGCCTCTGGCATCCTATTATTCCCCGGGGTCCCTTCTGGGAGGAGAGAAGTTTGTGGCAAAGAGACCCACAATAGGAAAGGTGCCAGGGCTGGTGGTGCCCTGCTGCCTTCCCCAGGGCCTCCTGGCTCAGGAAGGGGAGGAAGATCCATTCACCAGACACCTGACCCCATGGACACCCCTCCCAGCCTCAGCTAGGCCCTGCGAAAGGCCAGGCTGCACCTGGTGGCAATGAGCTCAGAGCAGGGTCTGCTGAACCTAGCCAGCCTGCAGTGGGAAACAGCCTGCCTTTGTGTTCCTTCCTCCCTGCCCCTACCCCTCCTGATCCCTCGGGGAGCTGAGCCCCTGCCCCGCAGCCCATTACAACAACAACCATTCACACCTGCTCTGCCCACATGCTTTCCCCAAACAGGTGCCACCCCTGGCCCCATGGGACCTTCTAATGCCCTACAAGGGAGGAGGTGGAGGGGAGAGAGACTGGCGCATGGCCACCTTCATTTTACAGTCTGAGGAGAACGGGGCCCAGAGCGGAGTCAGTGCATGTATCTGCCTCCTCCAGCCACCCAAGAGCAATTTGAGGTGAAGGACTAGGTCTCCATCATCAGGTCATTCATCCCAGGCAGAGGAAACAGCAGATGCCAAGGTCCTGAGGCAGGAACGCACCTGGCATGCCGGAGAATCTTCTCGGTCAGTGAGCAGAGTAGTGAGAATTACAGGCGAGTTGAAAAAGTGGGCCCTAACCGGATCACATGAGGCCTTGCAGACCATGAAAACAAGTCTGGCTTTTATTCCAGTTGCCGAAGAATTCACTGGAAAGTGCCTGCTCTGAGAGTAGATACTAAGAAGACAATAGTCTCGTGTCTGGCCTCCAGTGTTGGAGGCAGACAGGCCCAGAGAGTGTGACCCCACTCTGATGTGGGCCTCACTGGGGCTGCGGGAGCACAGAGGGGGCCCTGCCCCAGCCCGGGAGCCAGAGAGTACTTCGGGGTGGTGGTGGGGGGGGGTTGGGGGGAGAAGAAGAAGAGAGTTTCTGCTGAGACCCAGGACTGAACCAGAGTGAGCCAGCTGGAAAGAGAATTAAAGGGAGGGACAGGAAGTGCCAATGGTGCCTGAGAAGAGGGAAAGCGGTGGGGGCTGGGGGTGCATTTGGGACCTTAAGGAGTTAAGTGTGGCTGGGCGGTAAGATGCAATCAGGGGCTGTCTGGGGGGCAGAGGGGACGGTGGGGGCGGCTAGCGGGGGTGTGCAGCTCTCACTCTATGTACTGTGAGCCGTTCTCTATGTCCATAAGCCTCCTACTGCAGGAGCTCTATGGGCTGCCTCCAGTTTTTCTACTGTCCCATTGCACAGTGACCAGTCCCTCAGTGCTGGGCACGTAGGTTCTTTCTAGTTTTTCCCTATTACAAACAAGGCTGTGATGGGGCGCCTGGGTGGCTCAGTTGGTTAGGTGGCCAACTCTTGGTTTTGGCTCATGATCTCAGGGTCCTGGGATGGAGCCCTGCTTCGGGCTCCACGCTCAGTGGAGAGTCTGTATTGAGGATTCTCTCTCTCCCCCACTCTGTTCCTCCCCCTGCTCGCATGCATGCACGCGTGCTCTCTCCCTCTCTCAAATAAATAAATCTTTAAAAAAAAATGCTGGGACGAACATCTTGTCCACACATCTCTGTGCACATGTATGAGCATCTCCATACCGTAAAGATGGGAAGCCTTGGGGGCTGCCCAGTGGACAGTTTGAGCTGGATCTGTTTGCCGAACGAGTCCCGGGGCCTCTCGGGCAGCACTTTGATGGGTGTGATGGGTGTCCACTTGTGGGGCCCTGGACAGGTTGATGCTGCGAGAAGGCTTGAGGGAATAATAAAGAGCCCAGACCATGAATGACCTCTGGCTGCCCAGGCCAGATAAAGGGCAGGGAGGAGCCCCCAATCCTGGGCCCCACATGTCCTGTTGATGTAGGTTTATCTGTCCAGCTGGCCTGGTGTACCAGCTCCCGGCCTCTCCCAAGGAGGTATGGGTGCAGGTCTTAAAAGTTGGGGTACCAGATGTGGGGTTCACCCTTTCACTCCTCAGAAAAAGCTCGGAGGTCTTGAGATCCCTCTCATTTGTGGGTCTACCCACTAGGGGTGAGGTTTGTGGTGAAATTATGTCTTAGCCTCTCCTACCTGCTCCAATGTGGGTTCTCCTTTGCCCCACGTGTAGGAGTCCTTCAGCGAATTGTTCTGTATGTAGCTGTAGATCCTGTGTCCGTGGGAGGATGAGAGTTCAGAATCCTTCTACGTCGCCATCTTGAACCAGAACGACGACAAAAGTGCTTCACATGAGCATGGATCTGGGTTCACATCACAGCCGTACCACTAAAGAGCTGAGTGACCTTAGGCCAATTACTCCAACTCTCTGAACCTCGTGTCCTCATCTGTATAATAGGAAAAATAACCTAGTGGGGTTATCGTGGAAGTGACATTAACAAGTACCTGGCCCACAGTCCAGACTTGCCATAAATGACGATGTAGATTTCCATTGTTGTCTTAGGTCTCCAGCCTTTTTGGAAAACCTATAACAGCTTTATAGAGAGAAAATTCACACGCTTACGGTGTAGACATTATTGTGCGCAATTCAGTGGTTTTTAGTATATTTATCACAATCACTTTTGGAACCTTTTCATCATCCCCCCCCCGAGAAACTCTGTAACTGTTGGTAGTCATCCCCTGCTGATCTCCCTCCCCCTCCAGCCCTAGGCAACCCCAGTTTACTTTCTGTCTCTATGTATTTGCCTATTCCAGACATTTCAAATAAATGGAATCGTACACATTGGAAATCTTACAGAGTCTTTTGTGACTGGCTCCTTTCACTTAATATAATGCTTAACATCATGTTTTCATGGCTCATCCCTGTTGTAGCATGAATCCATACTTCATTCCTTGGTGTTGTTGGACAATATTCCATTGTGTGGCTAGACCACGGTTCATATATCCATTCATCAGTTGAAGGACACTTGGATTGTTTCCACCTTTTGGCTCTTATGAATAATGCTGTTATGAACATTTATGTATGAACGTGTTTTCATTTCTCTTGGGCATAGACCTAGGAGAGGAATTGCTGGGTCATAAGGTAACTCTATGTTTAACCTTTTGAAGAACTGCCAGACTGTTTCCCAAAGCAGCTGTATCACCTTACAACCCCACCGGCAGTGTATGAAGGTTCTAATTGGTTCTAATTTCTCCACATCCTTACCAACACTTGCCATGGTCTGTCTTTTTGATTATTCCTAGTGGGTGTGTCGTGGGATCTCATTGGGGTTTTGGTGTGCATTTCCCTGATGGTTAATGTCTCCATCTTTTTCAACAGAATCTGCTTCATTTCCAGGGTCAGATAAACCTGGAACATCCCTTTCCCAATATGGAAACACTAACCTGTCCCTCAAAAAGGAAAAAAATCCAACACGGAAAAAGATGAACATTACTACTTCATAACACTCCTTAAGCTGGCTCTTCCATATTTGTATATTTCCCTGTTTGGGGACATTGGGTAGTTTCTAATTTTCTTCTATTATCACCAATAATTATAAAGACCAGTTGTCACATGGGAAATGCTCACAATAAGTAAACAAAAGGATTAAAAACAATACTCAGTTTAGTCATCCTCTCTGAGAACAATGTATGTTTGTTAATTCATCCAAATGTGTTTTGACCACCATGCTGGGCTCCAACCCCGAGCTAGCTGACGGATGGACAAGGTCTGGAAAGGAAAAGCAACGATGCAGATACCGCTGGTGTGGGGGTGGTGGGGCCCTGAGTGATAGATGCCCCAGCCTTCCCCACCTCTATTTCCAAACTCTCTTGACCGTTGTTATGGTGCCCTTGGCAATAAGACTGAGGGAAAGGAGAAAAAATGATTGATCTAAGGATGATGGGCGTCATATTTCTTGAGCCAGATCCTTCAAAGCTATTATTTTATGGAATCTCCACGCAACGTGGGAGGTTGATAATACCGTAGCTACTACTATGACACTCACTGGGTGCCTGGGGCTGTCCCACCAGCGAGGTGCCACTATTGTCCCCAGGTTACACGGGAGGAAGCCGAGGCAGGGCCACGAGACACGAAGCCTTCCGCTTTGGAGGTCTGTCTTTCTACATTACCCACATGTGTGCAGAGCTGCACAGAAAGTCATGTTCACACTCAGATCCACGTGTGCACCCTTGGACACACCTGGGAGCATATGTGCCACACCTAGATTCACATGTGCACTCGCATGCAGGACTGCTCATATCTGCAGGCATGTCCACGTGAGCTCCAAGCGTACATATCCATGTGCACTGAGTCCGTTCACTTTTGGACTCACATCTAAGAATAGGAAAAGGGGTGCAGATAAAGGGGCCAAAGTCCAACTCTTGCCTCCTCCCTGCACCCTCAAAGCACCAGCTGCTGCTAGCAGATGTGTGCAGGCCTGGCTGAGGCGAAGACAGGTGTGTCTATAGGCTCAAAGGACAGCGATGACCTGGCACTTGGAACCAAGGGCCACCCATTAACTTCTAGACGGAATTACAGCAACTAGAGGGCCTCCTCTGCTGGGGGCTGGAGGCCCTGAACTGAGGGCCTACAGACAACATGTCTGACCCTGTGCCAGGAGCTCCAGGGGCCGCACCAAAGAAGGCACAATCCAGGTCCTCCAGGGGTCCCCAAGGGATCAGGAAGACAAGATTCACACCTAGAGGTGGTTTCACATAGTGGTCACTGGCAAGCATTTTAGTGACAGACTGCCTGGCTTAAAATCTTGGTTCTACCATTTACTGGCTGTGTGATCTGAGCAAGTTAGTTAACCGATGGGTGCCTCGATTTTCCCATCTATAGAATGGGGAAAATTCTAACACCTACCCCTTAGGATTATTGCTTAACAAGTACTACATGAGTACGTATTTGCAAAATAAGCTGCTTCGGGCAAAGGGGGTTTGGGGATGAAGGCCAGGCACTGAGTAGAAAGAAATTCCTGAGGATATGGGCCCTGCATCCCACTAGCTGGGTAACCACAGACAAGTCACGCAACCTCTCTGAACCTTAGCTTCTCATTTGTAAACTTTGCACAAATCATTCTTGGTCACTAAACAAATATTTATTGAGGACCTACTATGTGCCACGCACAGTGCTAGGAACAGAGAATACAGCAGTGAGCAAAGCAGACAGTCCCTGCCTGCATGGAGCCTACGGAGTTGGAGGGAGGATAAAGTAAAAACATCCGGTGCATAGTAGATGCCCATTGTTCCTTCTTTTCTCCCTCGTCTACCATTGCGCATCAACAGTATAAAAGAGTCTGGAGAACACAGAGGGGCTGAGGTGGGGGAGACCTATCACCTAGAATCTCACCACCCCTAACAAAACTACTCATTTCATTTTTGCTAATCAAGCCAGTACAGGGCTTGCCTCATGGTGAGATGCTCTAAAAAGCATTTGGAGTGGGGCGCCTGGGTGGCTCAGTCATTAAGTATCTGCCTTCGGCTCGGGTCATGATCCCAGGGTCCTGGGATCGAGCCCCATAACGGGCTCTCTGCTCGGCGGGAAGCCTGCTTCTCCCTCTCCCACTCCCCCTGCTTGTGTTCCCTCTCTTGCTGTGTCTCTCTCTGCCAAATAAATAAATAAAATCTTTGAAAAAAAAAAAAAGCATTTGGAGTAATCAACGCATTGCATTTGTAATCAGCAGAAAACAGCTGATTACCCTGTAGCATACCTGATGGAAAGAAACAGAAGCAATCATGACCAGCCCTCTGCACACAGAGGCCTTTCCCTTCTAGGGAGCTGTAACATTTCCATTTTGTAGAAAACAAAGCTGAGGCTCAGAGAGGTCAAGTCACTTGCCAAAGGTCACACAGCAGAAATGTGAAGAGCCAGCTTCAGAAGCCAGTGTTCTTCTGCCCACACTGTCTCGGGCTGTGGGATGCAGCCAGGGATGGATGGTAGGGCTTTGGGCACGGTGACCGGCCTGCCTTTCATTTAGTGAAGCTCGGGGTTTGGGGAGTCTTTGTGCGCCAGGCCTAGGAGCACAGGATAATTGCCAGGCTCTTAGACGGTCTTAGGGGTCTCTTCTGAGCCCAGAAACCCCTCACTCTTACCTCCTTGGGAGCTTGGGGGCCTGCTTAGCCAGGGTCAGAACACTGGACAAGTTCGTGATTTCTGGTGCCCTATGGTGGGCGAAGAGCACAAACCTCTGGGTCCCCCAGGGCCCCGGGGAGACTGCGTGGGGAGGTCAGCTGCTCCTGCTGCTACTAATGGTGCTCGCCAAGCCAGTGCTTGCCATGTGCAGGCACTTTGACAGCTAATCTCGTATCATTCCTGCAGTCACTCCCTCAAGGTGGGAATCATTATTACCACTTGATAAAAATAATCAGAGACTTAGGAAAATGACTTACCAAGGGCACATCACTGGCCGGGGGCATAGCTGGGAGGTAAACCCTTGGCGCTCATAGGAGAGAGCATCGTCAAGGAAGCCTTCCTGCACAGAGAGAGCCAATTTAGGCCATGGTGGCCTTGAATGTCGGAGTGACATTCAATCTGGATTTCTTAGGCAGTGGGGGCGCTATGGTTTTAGAGCAGAGGGAGGATTTGAGTGTAATCGTCAATTAAGCAAGAGTTGAATGTCACGTAGGACGACAGAGACCTAGGGAGAGGTGGCAGGGCCCCGACTGGCTCAGGTGAAACCGCCCTCACCCAGCACCACCAAACAGCTGGTGCTCAAGTGATAGGATCATAGGAGTCCCCTCCATTCGGGTGCTCCTGTCTCCAGGGTCCCTGGGAGGGAGAGTCCAGGCTAGGAGAGTCCAAATGCCTCGGTGGGTGTTCAGCCTGGATTTGTTCAACACCCAGCCCTGTGTGGGGAAAGGTGGGGGTCCAGGTGAGGCATGGGGTAGTACGGGTGTGACGGTCCCAGGCACTCGTCCCAGCCCCTTGCTGTGAAGAGCAGGAAATAGAAGCTGGCTGGGCAGCGGTGGACCCGTGAACATCCAGCTTTACTAGGCTCCACGCCACCCTTCCTCACTCCTCCAGGAGTAAAAAACAACCAACCCCCCCCCCCCCGCAGCTACCTTTTATTTAGCACTTGCGTGCCACACCCCCTGGGAAGCTCCTTCCAGTCCCATCGCTTGAGTATTCCTCCAGCAAACCTGAGATCAGAGGGATGGCTGACGATTTCCATTTTACACGTAGGAGGTGGCGCTCGCAGAGAGCTGAGGTTGCTTACCCAGGTCACAGGGCCCTAAACGGTAGACAGACGAGCAAGCCAGGCTCCAGCGGCCCGGCCCAGAGGAGGCGAAACTCAGTGTTGCCAGCAGAGGGAGACGTGCCCTCAAAGATAAGACCTGCTTCCCAGACTCCCGGCCGGAATTGCAGGAACAGCCCCGCGGCAGCTGCTCTGGGGCTTCTGAAACACCTGGCCGCGGGCGCCCCCTGCGTCCCAGGTTCAGGTGGGGCCTGGGGAGCCCAGAGCTGAGTGCAGAGGAATACAAAACAGCCCTCAAAGGAGGCGAGCCCGTGGTTCACAGAAAAGGAAACACAATGGCTTTTAACACATAAAAAGATGTTTAGCTCGCTCCTGATCAGAGAAACCTGAGTTAAAGCCACAACAAGCAAGCCCTTGCGCATCTATCCGATTGGCAGTTGTGCAGGCCAGGGAAACACGCCCGCATACATTGCGGGGGGATTAAACTTGGTTTAACACGTGCAGAAGGCAACCTGGTAGAATTGCAAGTTCAGGGCGCCTGGGTGGCTCAGTCGTTAAGCGTCTGCCTTCGGCTCGGGTCGTGATCCCCGGGGTCCTGGGATCAAGCCCCGCATCGGGCTCCCTGCTCGGCAGGAAGCCTGCTTCTCCCTCTGCCTGCAGCTCATTCTGCTTGTGCCCTCTCTCTCTCAAAGTAAATAAATAAAATCTTAAAAAAAAAAAAAAAAAAAACGGCAGGTTCACGTGCATCCAACAGGAATGCATAATACATGAGTATAAAAACTTGCACTAGGCCTGCGTTCTTCAATACGGTGGCCGCCAGTCCGGGGTGGCTCTGGGGCACTCAGAGCTGGCTCGTCCGGGTTGAGACACGCCGGAAGTACAAAATACACACCAGATTTTGTGAGTGTGGAAAACAGAACGTGAAATAACTCTGTAATAGCTTTTTTTTTTTTATATCGATGCTGTGTTGAAATGATGTTTTTGATCGGGTTAAATAACTTTCCAAGTTAATTATACTTGCTTCTGTTTACCCTTAAAACGTGTCCGCTAGAAAATTTTAAGTTACGTCGGTGCTTTGAATTTGTGGCTTCGATTTTTTTTGTAGTAAAATACACATAACATCAGATGTATCATTTTCACCATTTCTTTTTTTTTTTTAAAGATTTTATTTATTTATTTGAGACAGAGAGAATGAGAGACAGAGAGCATGAGAGGGAGGAGGGTCAGAGGGAGAAGCAGACTCCCCGCCAAGCAGGGAGCCCGATGCGGGACTCGATCCCGGGACTCCAGGATCATGACCTGAGCCGAAGGCAGTCGCTTAACCGACTGAGCCACCCAGGCGCCCTCTTTTTTTTTTTTTTAAGATTTTATTTATTTTTTTTTTTAAGATTTTATTTATTGATTTGACAGAGACTGCAGGAGAGGGACTGCAGGGGGAGTGGGAGAGGGAGAAGCAGACTCCCCGCCGAGCAGGGAGCCCGATGCGGGACTCGATCGCGGGACTCGATCGCGGGACTCGATCGCGGGACTCGATCGCGGGACTCGATCGCGGGACTTGAGGATCACGACCTGAGCCAAGAAGGCAGTCGCTTAACCGACTGAGCCCCCCAGGCGCCCCTCATTTTCACCATTTCTAACGGTCAGCTGAGCGGCATCAAGTACATTCACACTGTTGTGCAACCATCCCCACCATCCACGTCCAGAGCTTTTCCACCATCCTCCACGGCAGCTCTGCTCCCCATTCCTCCCTCCTCCCAGGCCCTGGAAGCCACCATTCCAGCCCCCGCCTCTTTAAAGCCGACTGCTCTAGGTAAGCCAGTCATACAACATTCGCCCTTTTGAGTCTGGCTCATTTCACCCAGCATAATGTCTTCAAGGTTCACAGTACAGCACGTGTCAGAATTTCCTTCCTTTTGAAGGCTGCGAGATATTCCGCCATATTTACGTACCACCTTTTATCTACTCATCAGCTGGTGGACCTTTGGGTTGCTTTCCACCTTTTGGCTCTTGTCAAAAATGCTGAGATGAATGTTTATGCACGAGTACCTATTCGAGTCCCTGCTTCCAGTTCTCGAGTACATACTGGAGTAGATGTTACCGAACAGCACTTTACTAGTGATTTCCATAGCAGCACTGTTTGAAATGTCCCCAAACTTGGAACTGCCCAAATGCCCATCAACGGTAGAAGGGATAAACAAATTTTGGTGTATTTGCATAGAACAGTGCTGTAAGAATGTGTGACCACGTGCCTGCTGCCGTGTGGATGAAGCTGACACACAACACCGGACGTATGGTGTGTGTCCACGTACACAAAGTTCAAACGAGGCAAAGCTAACCCATGATGTCAGAAGTCAGCTCCTCTCTGTGCGCCACGAGGGGGCTTCTGCAGGACTGACAGGGTTCTGTTGATCAGGCCCTGGCTGCAGGAGCCCCACCACTTTGTGAGAATTCACCAAGCTAAACACTCAGGATTGTTGCTCCGTTTGGTGTATAGGTTAGGCTTTCGTAAGAAGTCCTGCAAAACGTGCCCAAGTCCTTTGATCCGGCGATTCTAGTTTTGGGAATCAAACTACAGATACAGTTTCACATGCGGGAAATAAAGCGTGTACAAGATGACCCACTGCCGTTTCTTATCATACCAAAACCTTAGAAACATACCGACTCACACCACGAGGCTGGCTCCAGTCAAAACAGGGAAAATACCAAGTGCTGGCGAGGATGGGGAGAAATGGAACGTTTGTGCCCTGCTGGTGGGACAGAAAATGGAGTCGCTGCTATGGAAAACAGCATGGCAGCTCCTCAAAAAATTAAAAATAGAATCACCTGTATCATTCAACAATTCCACTTCGAGGTGAATACCTGAAAGAATCCGAAGTGGGGTCTAGAGCGGATATTTGTACAGCCATGTTCTTAACAGCGTGATTCTAGGAGCCATAACCTGAGGTGTCCGGTCGTGGATAAACGAGCAGCATGTTTATATAATCACCCAACACTATTCGGCCGTACAAGGGAAGACAATTCTGACCCAGACTACAGCATGGATGAAGCTTGAGCTCATTGTGCTCAGTGAGACAAGCCAGTCATAGGACACCCAGGGCGAGGAATGTCACGGACACAGGAAGCAGAAGGGTGGGCACCAGGGCCGGGGTGGGGAGGCACAGGGCGAGTTGTTCAAAGCCTACAGTCTCAGTTTTACAAGATGAGAAGACTTCTGGGGACGGATGATGGTGATGGTGGCACAGCAATGTGAATGTACTTAGTACCACTGACCGTACACTGAAAAATGGTTAAAATGGCAAATTTTATATTATGCATGCATATTTTACCACAATTAAAACTCCTTTTTTAAAAAAGATTTTATTTATTTAATTAAAGAGAGAGAGAGCACAAGTAGGCAGAGCGGCAGGCAGAGGGAGAGGGAGAAGCAGGCTCCCCGCAGAGCAGGGAGCCCGATGCGGGGCTCGATCCCAGGACCCTGGGATCATGACCTGAGCCGAAGGCAGACGCTTAACGACTGAGCCACCCAGGCGCCACACAATTAAAACTTCTAAAAAGGGAGGTGTCTATAAGGAAAGGTAAGAAAAGTATTTGAGATACAGTGGGTAATAAAAGTCAAGGGGAGAACAGAGTGTAAGGAGCGTTTCCATTTGCTTAAATATATCAACATGTTAAACAGAAGATGTGGAGATAGGACAGAAGTGACATTCTAGACCAGGTCACCATGTACAAAGGAGTCACAAAGGACGCGGACGGGACACGTCTCCCCAGTATTCACCTCATCACTTAGAGAAAGGGTGAGGTACTGCATAGAAAGAGAGGCTTGAGGGACCCCACCCCCCAACCTGAGAAGGCCAAACAGAGACTGCACATCCAGATGCTCGGCTGGGGACCTGGGAGGGTTTCTGGAACAGATGGGGCTGGGGTGGGGAGACCTGGCAGGGGGTCATCTTGGGTCCTACCCCAAGAAGTTGGAGATGGAAGTGGGATTCCTAGGGCTGAGCAAGGAGTGGCAAGTGACCCCCAGGAGGAGAGGTGCATCCACCAAGGGTGAGAGGAGCCTGCAGCAATGGCCAAATTCATGGAGCCCACAACACCATCCCGTGATGGAAAAGGGGCAGCTTGAAATATCTGCCGCTAGAGCACTGGAAGCCAGCCAGGATGGCAGTCGCTCTGGTAACATCTTTCTTCTCCCCTGACAGCCTCCGCCTAGCCCCCTCGGCCCCACGTGCAGGGGCAGGGAGGAGGAATGGAGAAGGAGCCCCCCTTCCCACCTTCTGCCTTCCCCACTACAGGGAAGAAGCAGGGGGAGAAGGTCTAAACCCAAATCAGATTGGCAGTTCCCCTGAATATCTTGACTGGACATTGAAAATTTGAGTGGAGACGATGTTTGTGACTGAAAATGGTAGAACTGTCGTTACCTAAAAGCTGTCAAGATAACACGGGTCCATTCCATGTGTTCTCCTATTGTCCAGGAAGGAAGCAGAGGAAGCAGAGAGAGAGAGAGAGAGAGAGAGAGAAGGTGAAAAATCTCTTAAGGCCACGTTCAGAACTAGTACAAGGTTGCTTCTGTCACATTCTATTGACCAAAGAGAGATCCAAGGCCAACCCATATTTGAAGGAAAAAGGGGAATAGGGGAGCTAGGTCAAAGTCACATTGCAAAGGGGCATGGGAACAACAGGAATGGAGAATTGGATCCACTTCCATAACCAGTCTACCAAAAAGGCCTTGCTTCCCTTGCAAGGGAGGCTGGGAAATGTAGGCCAGCTGCGTGTCCAGAAAGAACACTGCGTAAGGCAGGGTTACCTGTCTCAGCCACACCTGCTCCCCTCCTTGCTGATGCACATGGAGACACACGCCTCCTGTGCGCTCAGCCCAGTGGGGGGGCTTAGCGAGAGCCTCTCTTCTCAGGGTTAGAGGTCCTGACTCCCCCTCTGTGCGACCACTCACTTTTTTTTTTTAAGATTTTATTTATTTTTGACAGAGAGAGACAGTGTACAAGCGGGGGAAGCAGCAGGCAGGGGGAGAGGGAGAAGCAGGCTCCCCGCGGAGCAGGGAGCCCGAGGCGGGCCTCGATCCCAGGACCCTGGGATCATGACCTGAGCCGAAGGCAGACGCTTAACCGTCTGAGCCACCCAGGCGCCCGCGACCACTCACTTTTGCTCCCAGGAACTCCATTTCCTCATCTGTAAAACGGAGATATGACAATCATAATTGCCTCCCCTTGACATGGTGGTGATGAAAGCACTCTTCGTCCAAGAAAGCCTCAGATTTTGCAAAGAACTGGACGACACTCTCTGTGCCCTCAAAAGCACTAGGTAACTAGAGGCTACAAGAAATCAACACATGCGGGCAGACCTGGGGAGATGTGTTAACAGGGGCTGCGGGAGCCATCAAAGGAGCTGTGGCAGGACAGCTGATGAGCAGAGTCGGAATAGACCCAGGAGACAGGGAAAGGCACGGCAGGGCGGAGGAACAACACATGCAAAGGTGTGGAGGCTGGAACACACATGGTGTATTAAACGGTCCCATGCCCTACCTTTTAAAGCAGAAATTCCCAAAGGGTGGGATGTTGGCCAGGCCCGGGACTGACGCACACTTACATGCTTGTTCCTTGGCAGGATGGGTTTGAAAAAGAGGGCAGAAGAAGAATGAGAGATTGAAAACAGATTATTGGGGAGAAAAGTATTTCAGGCTCGAGACAACTGTCTCTGCAGCCTCTGGCTCCCGTCCCACCCATTCCCCAGCCCTGACGCAAGGCTGGCTGGAAGAAGGTATTTCTCCTGGGATTGGTCAAGCTGAGGGCCTGGCTGGCAGGAGACTAAAGCCTACCCCATTCGTGCCTGGGTGCCAAACTCTGCACAAGGCTTAAATATACCCACAGCCTGACAACATGCCTTAAGCCATGTGAAATGCTCCTCAAGATACCTTCTGTTATTGTCCCCATTTCCCAGATGAGTAAACTGAGGCTTTGAGAGGTTAACTGGCTTACCCACAGCCACATAGCCAGCCAAGGGTGAATCTGACCGATTCCATTGCCTTATCTTGGGCCTGGGCTGCAGACAGAACAGGGAGATGTTTAGAATAGTGAGGAAGAGTGTTCCAGGAGGCACAGGGTATAGTGTGTAAGGCAGTAATGTGCAGTGAGTGTTTGACTCAAAAGTCAGATTTGGGGGCTGTTTGTTACAGCAGCATGACTTAGCCTATCTTGACTGATATAAGTCATGATAAACTAAGTTACATGTCCTAAAAAGGTTAAGACCTCCCCATATTCCTCTCAGAAGCAGCACTTCTTTAAAAAACTATGATTTTTAAATTTAAAAAAAAGATTTGTTTATTCATTTGAGAGAGAGAGAGAGTTGGGGCAGGGGCAGAGGAAGACAAGCAGACTCCCCACAGACCACAGAGCCTGACGTGGGGCTCGATCCTATGACCCCAAGATCATGACCTGAGCTGAAATCAAGAGTCAGACACTCAACTGACTGAGCCACCCAGGCACCCCTAAAAACTGTAACTTTTAAATTTTGCCAAAATACATAAACATAAAATTTTCCACCTTAACATTTTATTATTTTATTTTATTTTATTTTATTTTTTTAAAGATTTTATATATTTATTTATTCATGAGGGACAGAGAGAGAGAGAAAGAAGCAGAGGGAGAAGCAGGCTTCCAAGGAGCAGGGAGCCCGATGTGGGACTTGATCCCAGGACCCTGGGATCATGACCTGAGCCGAAGGCAGATGCTTAACCGTCTGAGCCACCCAGGCACCCTCCACCTTAACATTTTAAAATGTCCAGTCCCATGGCATTAAGCACATTGCCAGGTTATGCTACCATTGCCACCATCCATCCCAAGAGCTCTCTTCATCCTGAGAAGCTCAGACTCTGTTCCCATTAAACACGGACTTCTCATTCCCCTCCCCCAGCCCCGGGCCACCGCCCTTCTACTTTCTGTCTCTATGAACCTGCCTGCTCTAAGTACCTCACATAAGTGGAATCACACAGTATTGGTCCTCTTGTGGCTGGCGTCCTTCACTCAGCAGAACGTCCTCATGGTTCGTCCATGTCGTAGCCTGGCTCAGAATGTCCTCCCTTTTTAAGGCTGAATACTATTCCATTGCACGTAGAGACCACATTCTGCTTCTCCATTCATCCATCCACGGACACTTGGGCTGCTTCCACCTTTTGGCCGTTGGGAGTAATGCTATAAATATGGGTGCACGGATATCCAGAGCAGCATTTTTAAGCAAAGTTGTTGGGGGGATACATGCACTGACCAAGAAGCCAGGAGACTCGAGGACCCCGGGCTCCACCATTAACTTGCTGTGTCGCTTTGGACACATTGCTTTCTGCATCTGATTCAAACTTTCCTCACAGTAGCATGCTGAGACCCAGTGAGACGGTGTAGTGAGAACGCTCTCTGTGAAGGGAAGCCACGAGGGGCTGTTATTGCTGTTACTCAGTGGGGTGCGGGCAATGATTTCCCAAAGGCATGAGTCACTCATGGTGGAATTCCAGGCATCAGGAGATGCAGTTCTGGGCAGCAGAGACCAGATTCCGCACAGAGCAGTGACCCTGATCCCGAGCCTGCGAGGGAGCCACACCCTCGCTCCTTGGCCACTGGCTGTTGTGAGGAAGGAGCTGAGTGGGGTTTGCTCAGGCTGCTTCTGTGGCCTCAGCATGGGGAGGGGCACTTGCAGGGTGGATGAAGAGGCCCGACGTTAGCATCTCGATTCCACAACTTTCTAGCCCGGTCCGCTGGACAAGTGAGCTCCCCTCCCTGAACCTAAATGCGGGGGAGGAAAGTGGATTCCTTCAACCTGGGTGAAGATGGAATAAAATAATCAAGGTGAGGAGCAGCCTTACCATGGCGGCCGTGAATGTCGTATCATATGGTCCTTTGGGTAGAGCCCATGGTCCCATTGCCTCACACGATTGTTAAGGAGGCTCAGAAAGGGTGATATACTTGCCCAGGGCCACACAGCCAGAGAGCAGTGGAAGCTGGACTAGAACTGGAAGATCCCGACTCCCAGCCCTGGGCCACACTGCCTCCCATGTGGTTCCAGTTCTAGGAAGAGGGTATAGGAACTGAGCTCTGGAAGAGCAGTTGAGGCAGGGGAAGAAGGGGGACCCAAAGGGCCTCAAGGGGAAGGTGGAACTTTCTTCTTTCGTATCTCATGGAGATTGACCTAAGAACCTTTCAACTTACAGCCAGCCCTCTCTGTACTTTGCAAAATCCTGAGACCACTAGTGATATAATATTATCTGAGCCCTTCCTAAGTCCCAGGCTTAGAGCTGAGCACGTCACCTACCTGGTCCCCTTGCACCCCTCCCCCCAGGAGCTAGGAGCCAGCGTTATACGATTCGAATGCCCCCAAACCTTAATTCAACGGCATTCTCAAGGTTATAAAATGTGAAGAGGCCAGAGCTGGCTTTGAACCCAGGGCAGGATGCCTGTGGACTCTGTGCACTGAAGCACAATGATTGACTACTTCAGCTGAAGCCGGTTACAGCTGTGAGGTGGAGGCAGGGGGGCCTGACTGTGCCCATTGTTCAAGTGGGAACACGGAGGCTTGGAGCAAGCAGCCTTACCACGGCGGCCAGCACATACGGAGTGCTAACTGGGCTCACGGTCTTCGGCTGGACACCTCACCTTGATTATTTTATTCCATCTTCACCCAGGTTGAAGGAATCCACTTTCCTCCCCTGCATTTAGGTTCAGGGAGGGGAGCTCACTTGTCCAGCGGACCGGGCTAGAAAGTTGTGGAATCGAGATGCTAACGTCCGGCCTCTTCATCCACCCTGCAAGTGCCCCTCCCCATGCTGAGGCCACAGAAGCAGCCTGAGCAAACCCCACTCAGCCCGCTTAGCCCAAGGCTCTGGAGAGTCCATTTGCCAAGGGTCCCCAAATACACGGTTCTCAGAAACCCACATTCCTCAAGTGGAGCCCCATGGGCTGTGATTCAACAGCCTCCCTGGTTCTCTGCCGCCCACAGGATGATCCACAGGGTGTGGGCCAGAGGGCTGAGGCAACAGAGGGGACGGTGACCCCACTGACAGCAGGTCAGCCCAGACAAATGTGGCTATCTACAGAAGCCTCCCCCTCCCTGTACATGCTCCTCTTAGCAACAGCCTGGGAGGAAGGCAGCGTCTCCTAGGCCCCATCCTTCTGGGGCCTTTGATCCAGCTCCAGTCCAGAATCCATTGCCCACTTTCTCTCCTGCCTCCAACCTTCTCTCTAGAGCCTTGCCTCTCTTCTAGTATGGGATGGGCATGGTGTTCAAGAAATCTCTTCCCCAGCCCAGGGGCTAAGCCATTCAAGGTTCTCCAGTCCCCTTGGCTGCTTTTCAGGGATGGGCATGCGTATTGGCTGGGTTAAGTCTTATTAGCCACTGTGACAAATACCTCCAAGATTTCAGTAGCTTTCCACCACAAATGTCTGATTTTTCCTCCCATGCCAGTATGAGAAGTCTTGGCAGGAGGACTGTGCTCTCTGCAGCCATTTAGGGATTGAGACTCTTCCTGTCTTGTGACTCTGCCTTCCTCAGCCCCGGAGTCTTCTCCATTCAGCAGGCAGATGGGGCAAGAGTGCAAGGATCGTACGCCAGACCTGAAAACGATGCATTTATTTTTGCTCATATCCCATTGGCCAGACTCAATCACATGGCCACACCTAACTGCAAAGGAGACTGGGAACTATAGCCTCACTGTGCGCCCAGAGAGAAAATGGCTGTTGGTGAGCACTAGCAGGCTTCCACAGAAATGACCCAGTTCTTACCAAGGAGACACAAAGTCTGCTGGGGGCTTCTGAGGAGGGCTCGCTTTGAGTTTAAGAGGCGGCGTAGGGAGGAGTCTCTCCATTCTTCCCCTTTAGGTGGTTGTGTGAGGATATGATGTCTGAAACTTTGGCAGCCGTGTTGAGACCATGAGGCGCCAAGTCTGAGCGCTAAAGCCAACACACTGAGGATGCTGGAGCTGCGGTATGCATCCTGCATGCCGTCACTGAGCCTCTGAACTAACCAATCCCGGAACTACCCAACCTGCGGGTGTCTTGACCCCAAAGGTCCTTACTGTTGAAGTCAGGGGTATCAGGGTGGGTATTCTATCACTTGCAGCCTAAAATCTCCTAACTGACCGATACTCAGGAGTGAATGCTGAAAACACCTAAGCCATTGCATATGGTATTGTGCTTATCTGGGGGAAGGGATGGAGAAGGTACAGCAGTTCAAACACAAAATGAACAACTACTATGTGCCAGGCCCTTGACATACACAGTGTCTGTGTGGGGCCAAACTGCCTGGATTCCAATCCTGCCTCCATCACCTCACCAGCCCATGACCTTGGACAAGTCACTCAACCCAACCTCTCTGTGCCACAGTTTCTCCATTACTAACATTGGGGTGCTTATAAATCCTCCACCTACTCAGTAGAGGATTAAATGTCCAATTCCGGTCAAGAGTTTAGCACGTTATCAGTGAACATGAGCTAAAAAAAGTCCTGACCAGACAGACCCTGGGAGGCGTGAGGAATATTAACCCCATTGGAGAGATGGGGAATCTGAAGTTCAAGGAGATGAAGCCCAAAGGCATACAAATAGGAAGAGGCAGAAGCTGGATCTGAACCCAGGTTGAGTTAAGCGCCTACTATGTACCCGGCATTTCGGCAAGTGTTTAGTTTCGTTAGCCCACTGGATGTGCATGGCCGTCCTGCGTAGGAGACGGTGCTCTTGTTCCTATGACTATTCCTACCGAATACAGGGGGAAACCATGGCTCCGGGAGGTGGGGCAACTTGCCTACAAGCAGGGTCAAGATGTCAGCATTTGATCCTAGGCCTGAGTCCAAGCCTTTATGCTTTCTGCTATTTATAAGCCTCCCTCACGGGGACCCCAGACTCTGAAGGTGGAGCCTCGGGCATCGGAGGAATATTACAATTGGCCCCCAGGGCTGTTCAGGGTCTCCTGAACTCATTCCCCAAAGCTGGCTGTCAGTTCAGCCTGTCTCCAAGGTTGTCCTAGTGATGGCTGCCCCTCTGTTCTGCCAGGAAAGTAACCAGGATCTGGAGTGGAAGAGCCCGCGAGAGGGAAAGTTTGACTCACTTTATAAAAGCAAAACTTTTTTGCACTGATCCATAACGGAGTAGGCTGTCCTGGGAGGTGATGAGTTCCCCGGTCCTGGGAAAGTACAAGCAAAGACTGGTGGCCAGTCTTCTTTGAAGAAGGTTGTAGAGGTAACTCCTGCTTGAAAAATGATACTGGATTCAAAGAACGTTCAGTTTTGAAAAACTATGATTGGACTCCGATTTAGAGTTGCACAATACTCAAAACATAGGAGTCTAGGATTGTATGCATTTCCCCCTCTGTGTTTTCTGTTCCACCATCAGATGATTGGACTGTGGGGCACCTACTGACTCGGGGAAGGGATCTTTCACTGAAAGCAGAGCATCACTTTTTAGGTTTCAAAAGCCTTTGGGAAGATGGCTGTTCCATCGGCCTGGGTCCTGGGGTGAGGGGCCGTGAAGCCGGGCCACAGAGGCCTGAGCGGACACGCAGTATGAATAACTAAGAAACAAGCTTTGGGGGTGGTTGTCACTGTACTGGGACCTAGCCGACCTGATGGGTGCACATCTCCCCCCCCCACCCCCAACCCCGCTTCTCCTCCTCCCAAACAAGAAAGCTGGGCAGGGAGCCAGAGAAGAAGGTACGAGTGAATATTTTTTGAATTTTGTGGGTCAACATGACCCCAGACGGCTCTGAGGAATCCACAAGTAGAGTGAGGAAGGCATCGAAAGATGAAATGGTCATGCGGTGTGTCTAAGCCACGGGGGACCAAGCCACCTTGCATGGAGACACAGCCATAGGGAAAATGCACACCTTCCCTTCCTCCCTTCCTCCCTTCCTCCCTTCCTCCTTTCCTCCTTCCCCTTCCCTTCCTCCTTTCCTCCTTCCCCCTTCCCTTCCTCCCTTCCTCCTTTCCTCCTTCCCCCTTCCCTTCCTCCCTTCCTCCCTTCCTCCTTCCTCCTTTCCTCCTTCCCCCTTCCCTTCCTCCCTTCCTCCTTCCTCCTTTCCTCCTTCCCCCCTTCCCTTCCTCCCTTCCTCCTTTCCTCCTTCCCCCTTCCCTTCCTCCCTTCCTCCTTTCCTCCCTTCCACCCTTCCTCCTTCCTCCTTTCCTCCTCCCCCCTTCCCTTCCTCCCTTCCTCCTTCCTCCTTTCCTCCTTCCCCCTTCCCTTCCTCCCTTCCTCCTCTTCCTTTCCTCCTTCCCCCTTCCCTTCTTCCCTTCCTCCTTTTTCCTTTCCTCCTTCCCCCTTCCCTTCCTCCCTTCCTCCTTCCCCCCTTCCCTTCCTCCCTTCCTCCTTTCCTCCTTTCCCCTTCTCCCTTCCTTTCCTCCCTTCCTCCTTCCTCCTTTCTCCCTTCCTCCCTTCCTCCCTTCCTCACTTCCTCCTTCCCCCTTCCTCCCTTCCTCCTTCCTCCTTCCCCCTTCCCTTCCTCCTTTCCTCCTTTCTCCCTTCCTCCCTTCCTCCTTCCCCCTTCCTCCCTTCCTCCTTCCTCCTTCCCCCTTCCCTTCCTCCCCTCCTCCTTCCTCCTTTCCTCCTTTCCTCCCTTCCTCCCTTCCTTCTGTCCTTTCTCTATCTCACTTCTTTTTCTTTCTCACTTTGTATTTATAAAATATTTCAAACATACAGAAAAGCATAGAAAATACCCATTTGCGGGGCGCCTGGGTGGCTCAGTTGGTTAAGCGACTGCCTTCGGCTCAGGTCATGATCCTGGAGTCCCTGGATCGAGTCCCGCATCGGACTCCCTGCTCGGCAGGGAGTCTGCTTCTCCCTCTGACCCTCCCCCCTCTCATGTGCTCTCTCATTCTCTCTCTGTCAAATAAATAAAAATAAAATCTTTAAAAAAAAAAAGAAAGAAAATACCCATTTGCTCTTTGCCCATCCCCTAGATTTAACTACTGTTAACATTTTACTATATTTGCTTCATATATATATATTTTTGGTACCAGCATTTTCTGAAGTAAATAATATTCATCATGATATTTCCTCTTTAAAATCTTGGAGACAGGGCACCTGGGTGGCTCAGTCGTTGAGCGTCTGCCTTCGGCTCAGGTCATGATCCCAGGGTCCTGGGATCGAGTCCCACATCGGGCTCCCTACTCGGCAGGAAGCCGGCCTGCTTCTCGCTCTCCCACTCCCCCTGCTTGTGTTCCTGCTCTCGCTATCTCTCTCTCTGTCAAATAAATAAATAAAATCTTAAAAAAAAAAAAATCTTAAAGGCAGAGAGTTTTGTCTCTTCTATTCATTGCTTTATTATTCACTGCCTGGAAGTTGGTAGGCCTTCAGTAAATAGCTGTTGAATGAATGGATCTCATTTAATTAATCCTCATGCAAGTAGATATTATTATCATCCCCATTTCTGGAAGAGGAAACAGGCACAGAGAGGTAAAGTAACGCGTCCAAGGCCACAGAGCTAGGAGACGGTGAGAGGGGGACTTGAGCTCAGGCAGGCTGAGTCCAGAGCCCAGGCATTTCCTGCACTAGAGCTCTTGAGGGGGCTTCCTCTACTGGGATGTTCCTTCGTCCTCTCTGTCCACCTGTCCCATCCAACCACCTTCCACAGAGGAGACCCAGAGGAGGGAGAGGGGTGCACAGACCAGCCAGAAGCAGGTCACCCCCATCCAGGCACCTGGGTGGTCTCCATAAAAGCTGGGGCCCTCTCTCTTGCCCAGGGGTGGAGACAGAATGCTCCTTCCCAGATGAGTGACCTTTGGGGTTTGTTATGAGTAGAGATTCTTTCTGGGGAACGTGATGGCTGATCCTGGGAGCCTGGGTCCCCAGACTTAACCCACAGGAATGTGGGGTGGAATCTCCAGGCCTCTGCCCTACAGGCCAGCTCTCTGGGCCGCCTTGGGCCAGCCAGAGGAGGGCGGTTCCAGGCAGTTCTCCCAGCCTTCTGGGGAGGTGGATTGGGACCCTGTATTCCTAGGCTGGGAGGCCGCTCCTCAGGGTAAAAAGAGGTCCAGGCTTCAAAATCTAAGAATCCTGGAGTTGGCCTCTTCTTAGTCATGTGACACTGGACAGGTGCCCAGCCTGGCAAAGCCTCGGTTTTCACATCTATCAAATGGGGCTAATTATTATCCCAACTCACAGCAGGTCTGGGACTAGGATGAGGCAAGCTGGGTGCCTAGGACACGACATTTAAGGAGGTGCAGGCTTGAGGCAGGAGAGACTCCATGTCCCTTAAATTATGTGCCCTTGTCATCTCGCTGCCAACCCTAGGCCCAGCCCTTCCTCCCAGGGTTGTCATGGGACAGCAATGAGCTCTTCTGTGCAGAGCACATGAGCACCGTACCTAGCACATGCCTCGGGCTCACTCTGGGAAAAGCTGCTGCTTGTGTGTTATTCTTACTGACCGTTCCCCAGAAGGAGGCTGGGCCCTTTCCAGCCACCGCCCTGTGTCCCGGCTCTCTCGGCGGCCTGCACCTTCATCCACCTGTGCGTACGGCACCGTTTTCATGATTTACCCATTTACCCCCCTTTCTCTCGGTATTGAATCTCTGCGAATTTCCTGACTTACAGCCCTGCTCCACGGTGACTGCTAATATGTACCATGTGCTTCGCACGTGCTGGGCCCCGTGCTAAGCGTGTATACGGCTCCTCTCTCCTAATCTTTACTGGGACCCAGTGAGTGAGGCAGGAACTACAATACGCCCATTTTGCAAACGAAGGAGCCAAGGCACTGGGATGCGAAGTAACTTGTCCTGGGATGGACTGTGACGGAGGGCCAGAGCTCGGGGTAGGCCAGCGTGGTCTAACCACACGGCCTGCACGATGCAGCCCGGACATGGCTCCTTTCACTTTTCACCAGCCTGTGCCCTACGAGGTGCAGATGCATGACTCAAGCTGGGGCCCCCATGCCCGTTGGGGGAGACCGACCTCCCCGAGCTAAGTCAGGCGCCAGGCACCTGGGGACAGGGGGATGGCCCAGATGCCCTCTGAGCTTTTCCAGGCCACAGCGGGCAGTTTCCGAGTTCTTCCCAGACCAGACGGTGGCTTCTGCTTTCAGGCTGCAGTGGTGATGACACTGAGCTCATAGTTACAGAGCATCGGCCCTGAGCCAGCGCTGTGCTCCATGCCCCACATCCAAGACCCCGATCAATCCTCACAACATCCCTCTCATTCATGACTGTCTATGTTATGAATGAGGGAGACCTCCGGGCACCTGGCCAGGTCCGAGAGCTGAACTCCCATGTGGCTGAATGCCAGGTGGGCTGGGTGGTGAAGGCTTGGCTGCTGAGAGCCTTGCGGGCACCTGCCCCTGGTCACACCTTCTGGGCCTCCTCCTACTGCTGGCAGCCACTGTGGGCAAAGTGGTGTTAAGCCCTAGAGTAGGTCATCGCTGGGGCTAGGACTGAGGCTGGGCTGGGGAAGAAGGCACGTTTCTGGGCTGCAAGGACTCCAAATCTGGCCACTCCATGCCCAGGCCCTGGGCCCCAAAGGCACACACACATTGCTTTGGATGAAGTAGAACACGGGGCAGGTAAGGGTTGATCTGGGGGAGACAGCTCATCGCCAGTAACAATGCTGAGCTTTGTCCTTTGTACCAATTGGTTTCCCCTGCTGCGTCCTAACTCCTTCCTTGGTAATTCATCTTCGGTCCTGGCCACCAGAGTGGGCATCCATCTGGTCACATGCAAACTCTGCTCCGGACTGGCCAGTCACACCCCACGGGTCAGTCGGAACCTTTTCCTGGCATTCTGGGCTGTCTGCAGACATCCCTCAGTCCTTTCCCTGTTGCTCACATCACTCCCACACCCCAGCCCTGTGCCCCAGTCTTCGCTAGTCCACAAGCAGCTTGTGCTGCAGAGACTAGTATGACAGTGGTCTGGGCCTGCCTCTTTGCTTCTCCACAGGCGAGTCTCTCTGCCTAGAGTGTCCTCCCTCCCCTAAGATCCTTCTGGATCTTCTCAGGCCGGGCTGGGCACAGCTCAGAACTCCCAGGCCTGAGGGTTGCTGTGCAATTTAATACCACACTGACGATGGGGAGCTTAGTGGTTAAAAATGCAGGCTCTGAACTTCGGTGTGGGTTCAGGCCTGGCTTTGCCACTTACCAGCTGTGGGACCTTGGGCTGGCCTCGCTGAGCCTCTGTTTGCTTCTCCGAATGCAGAAAGACTGACACGACCGACTCCATCCGGGTGCTGAGGAGCTGGAAGGGTGTCATGCACGCAGAGCTCTGGGCTCAGGGCCTGCCGCCTTCCAGGCTCGAAGGATCAGGTGTTTGTCTACTGGTTCCGCAGCCGAGTGGGTGCCGGCCTCCGTGCTGGGTGCGGGGATAGAGCGGTGTGACTGGGCTCATGTGGCCCCTGCTCCCACAAACAGAGACACTGGAGAGGCAGATATTCACCCCTTCATTTCCATTGTGACTACGGTAATTAGGTATATAAACCCCCCACCCCCCACCCCACCCCCCCGACCTCCTAATCCCCCAAACGCTCACCTTGACCTTGAAGCTCCCTGGGGCAGGAACTAAATCAGATTTATCTCTGTAACCTCAGCTCCTCAATCATGGTGTGGACGCTCAGCAGATATTTAAGCTGAAAAGATTTCCATGACAAACACGGCACTTGGGGAGTGATTGGGGCTGCCTGCCATACTTGGCACATATGAGATTATTTCATTCTATCAACATCTCCATGAAGTGTGTACTATTACCGTCACCCCCATTTTACAGATGGGGAAACTGAGGCACAAAAAAGTTGCCCAAACTCTCCAGAGCGATACAGCCAGTGAGGGCCAAGATCAGGATTTGAACCCAGGCAGCCTGGCTCCAGAGTCCACTGGCCATGAGCTTCTCTTAAGTTGATGCCATTTTCCAGGGGTATCCAGAAAGGGCCTGGTCCCCTGACCCAGCTCAGGAAGCTGGGCCAGGAGGACCCAGGGCCAGCCTGAAGACCTCACCCGTGTCTACCACCCCCTGTTCCGTGGGAGGCTCCTCAGTTTTCCACTCCCCAGGTGGGCAGTGAGGAAAACGAGGCCTCAGCTGCAGCCTTTGATGTCCCCTGCCAGGCTGGCACTTTGAGGCCTGGGGGTACCTCATGGGAACCCAGCCCAGCAGCTGGGCAGGCCTCGGGGCCAGTATTTCCGTAAACAGCTCAGTGAGCCAGCCCCACGTGGCCAGTCCGTGGGCTGCTGGCCTCGGGGGCCGAGGTTTGGCTGACCCTGTGAGGTTTCCTCTCACACGGCCACTTCCACCCCCTCTGCCTGGCTGGGTTTCCAGTAATGAAGTGTTTTCTCTGGGGCTGGTGGGGCTGGTGGGGCTGGTGGAGCTGGAGGGATGGGGCATGGGGAGCCTCCCTGTCCCACTTCCTGCACTGGGCTCCTGGAAGCTGGTCCGGATGCCCCTCACTGCAGCCCTGGGCAGCCCGTAGGCCCATCTGGTGTCCCAGGGTGACATTACCTCTGAGGGGGCAGGTCTTGGGATCCTTAGAGCAGGGGCTGTGCCAGAGGGAGGCTGTGGCTGGTCGTTTCTGAGGGGTTGTGGGTTAGAGAAACAGCTTCTCCTGGAGACAGATCCAAGCAACTTGGAGATGGAAGGACGAGTCTCAGCTGCGGCTCCAGCCTCCTCCCCACCCAAAGCCAGGGGCTGCAAACTGGGGGGAAGGACCCGTCGGGATGAGCTACCATCCGCTGAGTGCAGCTATGCCCCAGCCCTTTAAGTCGCATGACAACTCGGCTTGGAAACTGAGGCCCAGAGAGGTGGAGTGACTCGCCCAAAGTCACACAGCGAGTGACAGAGCCAGGATGTGACTGGGTCTCTCCCTTCCTTCTGAATCACTTCTGTCTTTTTGTCTGAATCGCAAACAGTAGGAACTGCGAGGTGCTTCAGGCCATCTTTTAAGAGGCAATGTGGCACAGTGGTAGGGCCCCAGGAGCTGCTGGGGGGTCGAGAGGACCCAAAGCCCCAGCTGAAAACCCCTACCCTTTGCTTCCTACCAAACCATTTAAACCATTTTCCTTGGGCCTGTTTTAAATATTAGAGTTTTGTATGGGAGTTTGTTCTGAACAGGGGTCTGCTGTCTTGAGGAGGGGACTCGGGGGTGACCAGGAGCTAGGATTGGGGTTCCCCTTCCTCTACCTGAGGACCCTGGGGCCCAAACTGATGACTGGCTGGTGACTCACTCCCTTCTTAGCACATCCTTCTGTCCCATGACTGAGAGCCCTATAGGGGCGGCCCCTAACCAGGGTCCTCCTAACCAATGCCCTCCCCGCCCCCAACACACACAGGAACTGAGAGCAATTCACTCGTGCCTCAGGCCAGGCCAGATGTTCATGTGGGCATTGGTTTTGCTAACCACATGTGACTCAAGGGCTCCCTCAGAGCTGGAAGGCTCCCAAGAGGCCACAGAGGGCCACGCTGTCATGTCACAGTGGGGGAACTGAGGCCCTGAGAGGGCAGGTGACTTCCCTAAGGCCACTCAGGGGTAGAGAGGAGGAAGGAAGGTGGCATTCTGATACCTGACCCAGAGCTTTTCTACATCTCTGGTTGTCCCTGGATGTCCAAGGCCTCTGTCCCTATTCCTACCCCCAGCCACAACTGTCCTCCCCAGCTGACACAGGGCCCTCCCTGTGACCAGGCCTCTCCAGCTTCATCTCAGTCTGCCTCCTGCTTGGCTCTATGGGCTCCGTTGCTCACAGCTCCCCAAATGGCTCTTGCTCTCATGCTACTATCCTCTGTTTTAATTGCCTTTTGCCTGGACAACTCCTACTCTTGCTTCAAGACTCAGCTCAGATGTCACCTCCTCAAGTAAGACTTCGAAAACCACCTCTCCTGCCTCCCAGACCGGGTTAGGTCCTCTTCTCTCATTGCTTTCCCACTGACTGTGCTGTAATCACCCCCACTTGTCTCTCTCCTCCCCTCTAACCCGAGAGCTCATTGGGCAGAGACCTTATTTTAATTCTTTATGTACTAGTAGGGCATAAAGAATTCAGTGTTTGTTGAATGAATGCATGGGTAGATGGATATACAGATGGATGGATAGAAGGATGGATGGATGGATGGATGGGTGGATGGATGGATGGATGGATGGATGGATCAATGGCTGAAGGAATGAATAAACAAACAAATGGATCAATGGATGAACAGATAGTTGGATTGATGGACAGATGGATGGACGGATTAGGTATGGATATGGACAGGTAATGGCACCACTGGGACTCAGACAGTGAGAGGTAAGTCCCCGAAGACTAGATATCCCCGCTGATGGAAGGGCTCTTTGATGGGGAGGGAATAACCTAACCCATTATCTGCCTCCTCCAAGAGATGTCAGGCCAAGAGCAGAGCTAGCTCTGCCCTGACACCCAGTCCCTCATGAGCAACAACTGGTTCCAACTCAATGGGGTCTCCTGAACTCTGGTAATTAGTCGGCATCAATGAGTTTATAGGAACCACCTGGGCCTCCTGACATTCTGGAACTCTGTAATCCTGAGGGCCCTCCCTCCATGCTTCCCTCTGGATCAGAGCTGTCACTCCATGCTTTTGGGCATAGAAACAGATTCCTAGAGCCAAGAGGCCCTAAAAAATGTGGAGTTTGCCCCTCTCCCATTTAACAGATGAGGAAGCTGAGGCCGAGCAAGGCCAAGGAACTGTCCCAGGAATGTACAGCTATAGAGCTCGGCTTAGAGCTTTGGTCCCCCAGTTCATTCATTCATTCATGCATGCATGCACCAAAGACATATCTGGCACCTAATGTGTGCGAGGTTCGGCGCCATCTCCTTGCCATACTAAGTCTGTAAATAAAGCCTTGTGCCAATTTCCAAAGCCCTCCCCATGTCCCAGCATGGCTTCCTCCCAGCTCCCCAGCTCCCCAGCAGGCTTATCGATGCATCACCAGCTGCACCCTTGGCGCAGCCCCTGGGCCAACCCCCTCACTCAGCCAGTGAGGACCAGTTTGTTACCAGGCCCCCCGGGTCACAGTGCCATGTGAAGCCATGTGCAGAGGTGATCACATGCGTGTGCTGAGAGCTCCACATTCCAGCCCCCCTTTGGGGGAGGACCGCATTGGTCCCTGCACGCAGAACCTGGCCAGCACAGACTGAAGCCAAGTGTTAAAACTGTCCAAGCTCCACAGCTGTCCTAGGGGTGGGAGAAGGAACTCAGCGTGGCACCTGGGATCTCAGGGTCAGGAGCAGACCTCTAAACTCCTGCCCAGACTGGGGAACGTGTGGGAGAAGGGGCCAGGGAGAGGCGCCAGGGGGCTGGGTATTTGCAGACCGCGGCCACAGGCAGCCCGCAGGAACTCTATGAGCTTCTCCCAACATGGCCGTGAGCAAGGACAGTGTGGGGGCAGCCAGTCTTGGAGAGATGCAGCTTCATGTTCCGGGGCAGGAGCCCAGACCTGGGCAAGCCGTGGTCATCTGCTGGGCCCATCGTGTGGACCTTCCTGATGGAGGTGACCCCGCCGAGGACATGGAACAGCTCGGTATCTGAGGGCCCAACTAAGGTCCAGCTGTACAGAACAGAAAAACTTGTGGGAACAGATCAATGCACTAGAGAACCAAAGAAGAATGTGGAAGAACAACAGAACGCAAAGCTGCTCCTAGGATAAAATTAATATGACACAGACTAGGCCCATGAAGCAGGAGCATCGCCTCTGGTCCAAGGCCGTGAAGGCCCAGTGTGCCTTCTCCACCCCTCTTCTCCAAGGTGACCTTGGGTGATTCCCAAACTGAAAAACGCATACAGAACACCGGTGGGCCTCATTAAAATGCAGATTCTGCTTCTGGGGGGGGGGGGCCTGGGATTCCACATTTCACTCGAGCCCCTGGAGGATGCCGACACCCCAGCACACGTGGGGAGGAAGAGCCAGAGGCTCAGCTCCAAGACGGGGGAGACCTGCCTGACTCCACTGGACTCTCCGGGAGCAAAGATTAACCTTCCGTTGGGTCAAGCCACGAGATTTGGGGATTTGTGACCTCAGCATAGCCTAATGTGCCCCGATTAACATATTTAGCCAGGCAACCAATATTCCCCGAGTTGTTAATCGAGGTACATTAGGCCATGCTGAGGTCGCAAATCCCCATTTGTGTCCCAAGTCCCCAATCTCAGTGGCTCTATGTTGCTGCCATGAACTCATTTGTGCCCCAGGCACCTGCCTCCTCAGGAGGCACTCACTCTTCGGGTGGTGCAGTGCACGAGGAGGGGGGCACCAGAGAGGGACAGCCCCTTCAACGCTGCTCCCTCGGGGCATCTAGGAGCACCTCCTAATCCCAGCACTGTCAGTCATGGTGGCGCCGGGATTTGAAGCGAGGATCTTTGGACTTATGAGCCCGCGTTTCCTTCCAGTAACACAAAGAGCAGCCAGGCTCATTCTGGGGTCCTATTTGGGGGAGCTACAGCAGCCCCCAAGAGACTCATGGGTTCCCTGGACTGTCACATCCCTCTAGCACCGAACTGGGCAGGTTTGGGGGGCCTGCCCCACGTGTAAGCAGTCGGCAAAGGGGCGGTTCCCGCCGCAGTCTTTCAGCACTGGGAACTGTGTATGCCCGGCCCGTCTCTGACACTCCCACCCCCGGAGCTGGCCAGGCCCCAGGGCCTCCCACTGTCCGCTCACTGCCCTCCTCAGTTATGAGAAAGGACCAGTTCCGAGCACACAGCCACACTGTGACTCAGAGAGGCCCCTGGGGGCAGGGGTGGGGGGAAGGGTGGCGGCGGCAACACTTCCACTCATCTCTTGTCGCCTCCCTGGCCCGCGCTGGCCCGTGACTTCTTCACCACCCCCCCGGGAGCCCACGGCAGCCTCACCTCCCGGCTGTCGGTGGAGGCTGTCCCCTCCGAGGCTGCCCTGGGCAGTGTGTCTCTGGCCAGTTCCCCCCCTCCCGAAATGCTCCTGTCTTCCTTCTTGCCTCAGACGGAGGAGCGGTTCCAAGAGAAACTGATCAATGGTGATAGAGGTCAGAAGAGTGAGTACCTGGAAGGGGCATGAGGAAACTTCTGGAAATGTATCTTGCTCTGGGTGGTGGTGACATGGGTGTGCACGTATGTGAAGAGTTACCGAGATGAACACTTCACACTAACACATTCCCCTCGATCTAAAAAAATATGTGCCACCGAGAGCTCTGCAAGCAGTCGTCACAAGAAATAACAATCAAAACCACAACATAAGGTTGTGGAGCCCAGTGGACCTGCACTGAAAACCTGGCTCTATTTTCTTTTTTTTTTTTTTTTTTTTTTTTTTTAAATTTATTTATTTATTTGAGAGAGAGAGAATGAGAGACAGAGAGCATGAGAGGGAGGAGGGCCAGAGGGAGAAGCAGACCCCCCGCCGAGCAGGGAGCCCGACATGGGACTCGATCCCGGGACTCCAGGATCATGACCTGAGCCGAAGGCAGTTGCTTAACCAACTGAGCCACCCAGGCGCCCCTGGCTCTATTTTCTAGCTGTGCAACCTTAGGCGAGTTACTTAACCTCTCTGAACCTCCCCTTTCTTATTGAGGCATAGACTGTGAAGATTAGAAACACCACTTTTTATAAAAAATACTTAGCACAGGGCTGGCTTCCTCTGCGTGCCCTTTATGTAATCACTTTCTTTTCTTTTCTTTTTTTTTTTTAAAGATTTTATTTATTTATTTGAGAGAGAGAGAGAGAGAGAGCATGAGGGGGGGAGGGTCAGAGGGAGAAGCAGACTCCTCGCTGAGCAGGGAGCCCGATGTGGGACTCGATCCCGGGACTCCAGGATCATGACCCGAGCCGAAGGCAGTCGCTTAACCAACTGAGCCACCCAGGCGCCCTATGTAATCACTTTCGTTGTTCTTAAGACCAGTGGTCCTAGCAAGGACGGGGCCCGGGAGTGGTCTTCCCTGAGCACAGGCAATAAGAGGGGCACGTGGTCCGTAGAGAATTTAAAGATAAAATGCAACTGATGAGAAGTCAGTATATAAATATAAACCATGTCAGGATAGAAATGTAACTCCTGTCAATCATAAAGTACTTTGTCCTGAAAACATCTTGTCTTGGTCCAAGTTCTAAACAATTGATGCAGTAACTGTTGAATTTTAATTAAGCTTCAAATTTAGCACATTTTAGCTTCTTATCCTTTTTTTTTCTTTTAGAGAGAGAGAGAGAGCGCACAGGGGAGGGGCAGAGGAGAGAGAAGCTCGAGCAGACTCCGTGCGGGGCCCGATCTCACAACCCCGAGATCATGATGTGAGCTGAAATCAAGAGTCAGACGCCTAACCGACTGAGCCACCCAGGTGCCCCCTAATTTCTTACCCTTTAGGAAACCTGTCCTACGTGAAAGAGAACTTGGAGATCTCTAGGAAGACAGCTGCCCAGCGCACACAGACTCAGGAGCACGCATTCACTGGGAGCAGAAGCTCCTGACAGTTCAGAATCTTGCTCAGCCCTGTCTCCAATCCTGGGGGTGCAGTTCTGCACCCCGACAGTAGATTCAAAGCAACAAGGTCACAGAGTGATGGTGAAGACGAAGATATAGGTATTTCAATTCTCTCGTTCTATGTGAGTCCTTGGAGTTTGGGCTTGTGCTTAAAATTGAAAACAGTCAGTGTGACCATGAAGGGGGCGGCTGTTTTTATTTGGTAAGTGCAAACTTTAGTTCATACGTGAAAACTATTTGTCTCATCTCATGATTATTACTGTAAAATAATCCTGTTGTGCAAAAGAGCGGGGTGCTCAGCAACGATCCACTCTGGGTGTAGAGCGCCCTAGGCGTGGCTCGGACTAAAACATAAGCATAAGCATGGATAGACAAACAAATGTATCTGCTTCCCTCTAGGCCTGGGGACACTGCCTCCCCTGCCCTGCCCTCCTCCTCCAGCCAGAACCACTGAGACCTAGCATGCATTTCCATCTTCATCCTCCATCATCGACTCCTTCCCCAGGACTGCAGCTGGGAGGGAGGCTCCCCCCTCAGCAAGTCACTCAGTCTGACCCTATATCAGGTCACTCTTCTTCCTCACCCACCGCCCATTCTGGAACCCAATGCCCTCGCTTTGAGGTTTGGGGTACTGGTGGAGATTATGGGGGCCAAAGCCTTCCCCAGCCCCTGCTTGGCAACCCCTGTTATTTTCTTTACCAAATTCTATAGTCCAAGCCCTTGTCCTCACACCCCTTACCCAAAGCAGCTGGAGCATTGGAGATGCCCCCAGAAACTGGGGGATTTGGATTTGGGTGTCCTGCTCCCCCACGTACAACACCACTCCCCACCTCCCTCAGCTCCAGTCACACCTTGGCTCCCAGAATAGGCACGTTATCATGCTCACTTCTGCCTTCGTACCGTACGTGCTGTTCCCTCTGCCTGCAACATCCTGCCTTCTCTTACCCCCTCCGTCTGTGGCTCTCTGTAAAGACACCTCCTCCAGAAAGCTGTCCCTCACCTTCCGTCTGAACAAGGACCCCACCCCAGTATGCCCAGGAATTCCACCTGTTTCCCCACTGCCATCTCCCACTCTGGGCTTTGTCCCAAGGTCACTGTTGTATCTCCAGCTCTTACAGAGGGGGCCTCAGAGATGGCCAAATTAAACGAAATGGATTTGGTTCTTCCAGATCATCTGGCTGGGCCCGGCAAGTGCCAGCACATAGTAGGTCCAACCTGCATGGGCTCATCCACCGTGGGCCACCTTCCAGAGCCCAGGGAAGCAGGCCGGAGGGAGGCCCCTTGGTGCCAAAAGCAAACAGGCCGCCCCGGGGAAATTCTGCTGTGGGTCACACCCGCCTCTGGGTGGCTGCCAATCTTGCTGCCAGAAACCACAGGCCCAGCCGAAACTGCCCAGAGTCCGGGCCACGGGGCTTCGGAGGACTTGGGTCAGCGCTGCAAAGGGGGTGCCTGCGGAGCTCTTGCTGGCGGCACAGCGCCCCGGGCCTTGGGCGGGGGTCTGGGGCAGGGCTGCAACGGCCACAGGCGCAGCTTGGAAGGCCCCCTGGAGCTGGGAGGAGCAAGAGAGGCCCCCGCCAGCCTGTCACAGGCTCTTGGCACTGGCTCTGGCTCTGGCTTTCACACGCGCACACACACGCACAAACTCACACTCACACTGGCAGGTCCCCCCTTGGTGGCCTCCACGGTCTCATCTTCAGGTAAATGGGCTCATCAGTGGGAGCATGAGGATGGGGAGACGAGGGGGAATGCAGAGACCAGAGTGTGTGTGTGTGTGTGTGCATGCGCGTGCCTGAGAGTGACCTCACAGCTGCCGGAACATAAACACTTACAGGTCCTGCCTCCCAGGCTCAAAGCTGGCTCCGTGGAGGACACAGGGACATGAGAGACGTGCCACAGACCCACCTTCTGGCCTTCTCCCTCCTCTGCCTCCTCTCAAAGGTAAGGGGGCCCCGGGCCCCAAAACGCCTGGCCGACTTCCTCGGTGTGGTGGGGGAGGTGTGAAATCACTGCAAGGATCCCCTGGAAGAACTCCTGCAGGTCCCCGGTGTTGGGCACAGCCCAGCTTCCCTCCCCGGTGCCCAGACATTCGCCTCTGGCCAGCTCGGCTGTGTTACCTCAGGCGAGTCCCTTCTCTCTGAGCCTCAGCTGCTTCCCCAGCTAAACGACCATAATGATCATGAGGCCTTGGTGAAGATCACTGATGGCAATTCATCAGAAGTGCTCCGCACAGGACCTGGAACGTGGCAGGTGTTCCAAAGAAGAGGGCCGTGACTATTCGCGGTCCCCAGAGCCCTTCTACAGAGCTGAAGGGGGTGTCCTCATTATAAAGGGGGAGACGCAACATAAAACCTGCTTTGCCTAACTGTGAGCCAGGATTTGAATGGATGTTGGCGTCTAACTGATGGGAAAGTTCTCACCACAAGGGCATTAATGCTGGTGGCCGTGAGTGACCTGCAGACCCGGGCTGAAGGGGGACGGGGAGACACCTCATGGAATAATGATCTCCTCTTATGGAACATTTTTCAAAAGGTTTGTGAAATACCTACCTTGCCTAACATATCCAAAAACCTCATAAGGAATTATCCCCTGTTTTCGGGCAAGCAAGGCTCAGAGAGGGCAAGCAACTTGCCTAAAATCACACAGCAAAGAAACAGCAAAGAAACATCAGACTAATAGAGGCGGTGGAGCCAGGGATAGGCTTGGGTGTGTGTGGGGTGGGGAAGGCGCACTTCCATTTGTGCTTCTCCTGCTCCCTGTGCCTCTTCCCCTACCTGGACCAAGGCCACAGCTGCTGAGCCCCGTCAGCAAATGCTGAGTTCCCGATGCCATGGAGATCAGCCCCACCACAAGCCATGATCTCACTGTACGTTCATGCTTCTTTGAGGAGCACGGCAGGAGCCTTTCTCTCCTGGGTCCTGAGCAGGAGTGGGGGCAAGGCTGCGAACCCTGCTGGCATCCCAATCCCACTGTTTCTTCTCCCGAAGGGGCTGTGCAAAACATGATGCCCGGGTGGGTGGCTTGGGTAGTTGGAATGGGGGACTTGGGGTTCTGGGCCCAGGCTTAAATGAAAGACCAAAAGGAAGCCGTCCGGGACTCACTGTCCACCCCTCCCTTCTTCCCTGTCCCCGGGAGCCAGGCAGCATCCTATGCAGAGTCAAGGACTTAGTCATCACCAACATGGAAAGCCACAACCATCCTCAGGGAGAGAATTCTAAGTCTTCCAGCAGCCTGTGGGCTCCTGGGCTCAGGCCTGTGAACAGGGCCAGGTGGCAGAGACCTGGAAACAGAAAAGTCACTGTGACTAAGAGCTAGCCATGACCTCATTTAATCCCTGTCACCATTTCAAGATAGGTGCTCTCCACCCCCTCTTACTGAGAAGGAAACAGCTCCCTCCCCATGAAGTAGTTGAATGGCATGTTGAAGGTCACACAGCCCATCAGTGGTACAACTTGGATTTCAACTCTTCTCTAGAATATTCCACATCCAGGACTCGACCCCCTGGTGACTGCAGCAAGGGTCTGGGGAAACCGCATGTGTCGGGGAGGCGGGGCGGGTTAGGAAGGGCCTGGAGATCCAGGGAGTCCAGCCTTGTCCCCACACTGTTTTGAGCTTCTGTTTCCTGGTCTTTCCAGTGGGCACAAAGCTGGTACCTCATCTTGCAGAGTTGAATTAGCACATTACAGCTCACGGCTGGCCCGTGGCCAATGCTAGCTGCAATCATTGATATTATTAGTGGCCCCTCCCAGGTGTCAGGATGCACACATCCGGCCCCAGCTGAGCTCACCCCGTAGAGAGCCCAGGGTGGGAAACCTGGTACAAAGCAGAAGGCCTGTGGCCCGGCACCCCTACTTTCGGGTGGAAGGGACCCGAGAGCCAATTCTGGTCAGGGTCCCCACTTCTCACCAACCAAGGGAGCCCAACCTCTGATTTGCAAGGGAACCCCAAAGTCCAGCTGATTACTCCTCAGGCCGATTCCATGAGAATCATTTCCAGACGTATCACACTGCAGCATTGGATTCATAAAGAGGGGCCCTGGATGCTGCTTCAGACTTCCAGGTGAGGCTGATGCTGCTGTCTGGACCAGGCTTTGAGGGGCAAGGCTAGGCCATTATCTCTAGAATCTCTTTGGTATCACCCAGTCCCCGGCTTGGAATTCCTGCAGAGATGGCGACTCGCTCCCCTGTGAGGCCCTGGGCACAGAGCTGCCCACCTGCCTCACTACCTCCCAGCCTGGAGCCCCCCTTCCCCCCCAACCAGGGCTGGTTGACCAGTGTGGGGTGGCCTCTGGTGGCCAGGGTGCAAGCTGCAGGCCACTGAACGCAGATTTGCAGGACTGGGGGGTCCTCGGGGCGGGACAAAGTAGGCACTAGGGCAAAGGGGTCATTGCCTGCTTTGGGGCCACACAGAAGTTAGGAGGTGATTCATTCCATTTTTGTAAACTGTAAGTCTTCCATCCTCCAGCTAAAACCCTCTGGTCCTCCAAGGACCCTACTGAACTGAAGATTGGTCCCTCACCAAGGGGCCTACCGGAAGCTACCGGGCTATCTTGAATTATGCCTGCCTCCGGGTCCCCACCTTCAGATGGACATATGGGGAGACCATGGCATCTGGTTTCTGGTTTGCTTGTTTCTCTGTCCTGAGTGCGGAGGAACAACCAGGACACTTGGGTCAATACCTTGACCCTGTCGCTGGGGGGGTGGGTCCCTGGCTCAGGCTTTTCCCTATTACAGGATCCTTGAGGAGGAAGCGGGCTCCCAGCTCTGCAGCTAACACGCTGTGACTTTTGGCAAGACCCGTTCTCTCTCTGGAGCTCAGTTTCCCCCATCTCTCCCTGGCAGGGGCATGGGGGTTAGAACTGGAGCAGAGGTGCCAAAATCCTAGCTATGCATCAGAAGCCCCTGGATAGCCCAATAAAAAAAAAGATTCCAGGGCCCTGTCTCTGGAAGTTCTATTTGGTAAGTCCCAGGGGAGGCCTGGGAATTAGTATTTTACCAAGTTTCCAGGCTGATTTGATACGTATCCAGAAACATATTCTGTATTGTTCCAAAGATCAAAAGCATCTATGATATTGTTTGATTTATTCAGCTGTCAAGATAAATATTCGCAGTCTACATTCTAGAAAATGTACAGTACCCTGCCATTGTAATCCTTTGTTTTGTTGCTTTTGCCTTTCTGTAAGCTTCTAGAGGGCAGGATCTAAGTCATTCCTTGTAATTCCCGATGGCGATCATCACAGCTAAATGCACAGAGCATCTACTGCATGCCGGGCTGTGTGCTCAGGGTTTAACATGCATCATTTTACGTACTCCTGAAAACAATCCTCCGAGTTAAATATTACTAATGCCCCCTTTTCACAGATGAAGAAACTGAGGCTTGGAGAGCTTAAGTAACTTGCCCAAGGTCACTCAGCTAATAAGGAGCAGAGTCAGGACTGCACCTGTAGGCCAAAGTCCTTGCTCATGACCACAAGGGTCCAAGGCCAGATCTGTGTGACCCGGGGGCCGAAGCATGGACCCCTCACTGCCCACCTGGAATGACCGAGTGACATGCTCTGTCTCTGCAGGTGTGTGCCCAGCTGTGCCCGACGCCGTGTGCCTGCCCCTGGCCACCACCCCGATGCCCACTGGGGGTGCCCCTGGTGTTGGACGGCTGCAGCTGCTGTCAGGTGTGCGCACGGCAGCTGGGGGAGCCCTGCGACCATCTCCACGTCTGCGACCCCAGCCAGGGCCTGGTCTGCCAGCCCAGGGCGGGCCCTGGTGGCCGAGGGGCCGTGTGCCTCTGTAAGCAGGTTTGCGGGACCGATGGTGGGTGTGTTTGCGAGGGTCAAGGCTGAGGGGTCCTGAGTCAAAGAGAAGCTCTTCTCTCTCTACCTCCTCACTGTAGGTACACCATCCATTCCAGCCAAATCTGGTGACGCACGTTTCCCGAGGCCCTCCCTCTGCTCCTCCCCTCTTGTCTTTGCTCCGACTATGCCCCCCACCTGAACGGCACCGCCCCACTCCTACTCCAAATTACAACCAACTATCAAAGCCAAGCTCAAACACTTCTCCCCTGAGAAGACCTCCCAGATTCCTCAAACCAGGAATCACTATCCTTTCTCAGGACCTTCACAACACTTCGGAGAAAATAGAAGTGCAACCGTTTATTTAGGGAGGGCATAGAGTAATCGGTCTCAGGCAGTATGCTGAAACTTACCACATGATCCTTGCATAAATCACATAATCCTCACAAGGATCCTCTAAGTCCTTTCAGACTCAGAGATGAGCCAACTGAGGCTCGGTAATATTAACTGGCATGATTACTGTTACACAGCTTGGGACCAGGCCACACAGGTTCTGAAGCAACATTTCGTTCTGTCTTCCTCCTGGATTGGGAGCCCTTGGACCAGAGTTTGGATCCTGAGTTTGTCATTTACTAGTGACCTTGATCGTGTTACATCTCCCCCCATTCCAAGCCTTGGTGCCCTCTGATGCTTTAGATCAGAGTTTCTCAACTCTGCTTTTTGGGCCAGATAATTCTTTGGTATCATTCTTTACTGGGGAGGGCGGACTGTCCTGTACTTGGTAGGACCTTCAGCAGCATCCCTGGCCTCTACTCACTGGATGGCACTAGCATGTCCCTCACCCACGAGTCGTGACAATCTGTCTTAGACGAATGTCCCCTGGGAAACAAAATCATCTCCAACAGAGAACCACTACTTTAGAGAAACACAAAAACGCGAGGGTGTTCTTTTTTTTTTTTTTTTTTAATAAGTCTTGTAGAGCAATCTACGTCTTTCATCTATTTGCATGTATCACTTTAAAAAAAGAACAAGAGAGATAAGGGCTCATGAATCACTGATAATGAGTCCACTTATAGCAAAAAACAAGGTTAAAAAAAACCCAACAAAACTAATAGACATAAAGTTATCAATACTAAATCCTTGTTAAATGCTTTTTTTTTTAAATCAGGGGAGTGTAATCATGAGAAAATAGTGATTTGTTTTATAAACTCATAGATGATTGCTAATAAAAATGTATCTAGGGAGGGGCGCCTGGGTGGCTCAGTGGGTTAAGCGTCTGCCTTCGGCTCAGGTCATGATCCCGGGGTCCTGGGATCGAGCCCCGCGTCAGGCTCCCTGCTCAGTGGAGTCTGCTTCTCCCTCTCCCTCTGCCTGCCTCTCTGCCTACTTGTGCTCTCTATCTCTGTCAAATAAATAAATAAAAATCTAAAAAAAAAAAAAAAGTATCTAGGGAAAAAATGAGATAAGTAACTCTTATCTTCCCAGGCTGTTGTTTCAACGAGCCAGGACACAGACAAAGCATTTGGCTGAACTTTATTTATTGAACACTTGCATAGCACTTAACCATGTGCCAGGCACTCACAAATATCACCTCATTTAATCTCACAACAACCATATGAGGTTGGTACTAATGTCATCCGTATTTTATAAATGGAAAAAAAAAAAGGAGGCACAGAGAGGTTAGGCAATTTGCCCAAGGTCACACAGCTCATAAGTGGCTGAGCTGGGATTTGAACTGAGGGAGCTGGCTCCACAATCTTCATTTCCATCACTCTACTGCCTGACACTCAGCATATGATGAGTTCATATTGGCTGTTACTGTCACTAAGTTTATTAGGGGGCTTTTCTTATTCCATCTTGATTCAGACTTCAGACAGCTGGAGGTCAAAAATGTACCTGGTCTTTGCTTTTTCCTACAACTCCCAGCCCAGGTCATGCAACATGGTGGGTGCTCACGAGCCAGATCTGGAGGCTGGTGAACCCCACAGGTGAGACCTCACAGAGGCGGAGTCTAGGTCTTAGCTCTGGAGGGAATATGCTGCCCAAAACTCTCCTCTCAATTCCTAATTGGGTGGACCTCTGAAAGTGCACTCCAAGCTGTGTGTGTGTCCTCCATAAGCTCCTGAACCCCCACACCCCGAGCGTGCAGCCTCCCCAGCTCAGCCAAGCGCATCTCCACCCTCCCTGTGGCTTGAGTTCAAAACCACAGTCATTCTTGACATCTCTTGTTTTGCATAGCCCAATACTGCCCACCAGCGAAGTCTTCACAATATTCTAGAACCTGAAATTCTCGTCCCTCCTCAGTCCATCCGCTGCTACCAGCCTGGTCTGAGCCTTCTCATCACACACTAGATGTTGCAGCAGCCCCATAACAGTCTTCCCACTTCTGTCCTTTGCCCCCTGCTCTGTTCCCAACACAGCAGCGACAGGGGCCCTTTCAATACATACATCAGATCACATCCCTCCTCCTCCTCAAGGCCTCCAGCAGCTTCCCACCGCCTCCGAGTAAAAGCCAGTCCTCTCAATGGCTACAAGGCCCTGCAGGGTCCTGCTCCTGTTTTCTCTCTGACCCTGCTTAACTCCCTCTCTCCCTCCTGCTCTCTGCTTCAGCCATGCTGGCCTATTTTGTGCCTTAAATACCCAAGGGGGCTCCCATCTCAGGGCCTTTGCTCTGGCTGTTTGCTCTACCAGTGTTCTTTCCCGCCAGATATCTGCATGGCAAGCTCTGCATCTCCTTCTCATCTTTCTCAAAAATCACCTTCTCGGGGCGGCCTTCTCTGATCACCATATTCAACATCCCTCTCTTGAACCCTGCCCTGCCCTCCATTATTTTTCTAGCTCTAATCACCATCGGACATCATAGATTTTACTTGTTTATAGTGTTTATTTCCACTAGAGCGAAAGTTCCAATGAGGGCAGGATTTTTGCCTGTTTTAGTCATTGCTGTATCTATCATGAGTCCCTAGAACAGTGCCTGGCACATAGTAGGCCCCCAATAAATAAAGACTGACTGAATGAATGATAGTAAGAGCTCTGGAGAGCCTAGCAGTAACAGGTACCATTCAGGGAGCGTGTCCTGTGGGCACGCCCTTTACACACGTGATTTCTTTTTACCCTTAATAATGAGGTAGATCCTATTATTAAACTGATTTGCAGATGCAGGAACAGGGGTTCAGAGGGGTGAAATCACCTGCCTAAGTTCACACAGTGTGCAAGTGGCTAAAGGTGGAAAAAAAAATCCTCTGTTGTTCCTTCTACAAGGGACTCTCGGAGGGAAAGAGGGACGCAGAGATCACCAGATGACTAGACTGGGCTCTGAAGTTATTTGAGGGAGGTTGCTGGAAAGGGGGCATTGGAAGGACATGGAAGAGGAAGTAGGATTTTGGCAACTATATGTGTATATGGTTGGCGGGGGAGAGGGGGTGGCGGATTGAAGAGTGAGTATGTTTGGAGGCGCCTCCTGGTGTTTGGGACCAAGCACAAAGGTGCACACAGACCCCAGGGCAGGAGTGGGGATGGCCGCCCAGGGATCATCAGCCCCACCCCTAGCCAGCCCTGAGCTAGAGGACCAGGAGAGGAGCCAGGAAACCTTGCTAAAATTATCACCCCTCCAGCGGACTTTCCTCTGAAACAATCCCTCTGTTTACCAGGCCCTCCCGGAGACCAGGAAGCCCCAGGGCTGTGGCCCCAGGAGTCTGCTGGGAGACCCCTCAGGATTAAGGTGCAGCTGCCCCTAGTTTCCAGGAAACCAGGGGCCACATGATCCAGGCCAAAGGTCAGGGATTTGGCATCAGAGGGCTGTGGCCTGGAAGGAGCAGGGAGAGGGCTGGCTCTGGTTCTGTCCTCCCCCGAGGAACAAGCATCCCCCACTCCAGCTCACAGAGCATCTGCTGTGCTCCAGGCTTGCAGAGAAATGCTTTAACACTAGTTCCTTTAATCCCCCAGTGGCCCTGGGAGCCAGGTCCGGTGGCTCAGAGAGGTGCAGTGACCTGCCCCCAGGCCCCACAGTTAGCAAGTGGGAACAGGGGCTGGCGCCCACATCTGTGCGGGTCCCAAATTTCTGCACGGGTATGGGCCTGTTGGAGGTTTTTCTCTGAAGACCTGGGAAAACCTGCCTTCAGGCAAATCTTTCCAGACCCAACTGAACTGCCCGCCCCCCACCCCTCCCCGTCTCCAGGACCTCCGAAAGAGGTCCTCCTTGCTCTGCCCTTCCCCGGGCGACTCACCCGGGCCTCTCCACGGCTTTTCATTTCTGTGTTGCAGACGGTGACTTCCACATCTGTCCCCTGCCTGGCCCTCTGTCTCTCAAGACAAGGACTGTGTCTTAGTCCTGTCTAGGAGCTGAGCGGTCGGCACCCTGGAGGGGCACACTACGTATCTCTGGAACTATAAGAAATCAGAACCTCTTTCATCAATGTCTCTTCTGTGCTGGGCCTTGCACGAGGCATTCTTTCAAAGGGTATTTCCTGAGGGTCTGTGTGTCCATCCATGCTCTGGGCCAGCACAGGGGGAGGGGAAGCGTAGTGGGGGAGGGTGCCAGCCTGAACACTCTCAGCCCCAGCCCTCAAGGAGTGCTTGTCCAGTGGAGGAAGTGGGAATAACACCCGTATCTTAAGGGCTTCGTTTGAAGAGTGTTTCTTGAGCACCTACTCTATGCCTAGCACGGGGCTAAATGTTACGGACTTATCAACTGTACCTGAAGGTACCCAGCTGTTCTCATCAACGCTATTGTTAAGGCAACTCAGAGAAGTTAAGCAACTTATCCAAAGTCACAAAGCCAGCAAGTTAAGCCCGGGCCTGACAGTGATGACCACAACATAGCAGATGCACAATGAAAGTGTGTTGCATGAACTTTCGGTGTGTATAGAAGTTAATTAATATATAGTAATTAATTATATTAATAGTAACAACAGAGCAGCTGGGATCTATTGAAGGTCTCTTTTATGTTGGATTCATTACATACATCATTTCATCTAGTCTCTACCACAATCCTGTGAAATAAGTGCCCGTTATAAAACCTATTTTGCAGATAAGGAAACTGAGGCAAGAAGAAGTAAAGTCGCTTGACCAAACTGCATAGCTAATAAAGAGCAGAGCGGGGGCTCCATGTAGGCCCGTGTCCCCACAGCCCCTGTGCCAGGATGCGGTATGCCACGCTGTCTTCCCGCGGGCGCCCAGGCAGGTCGGCAGTGGGGACCGGCCGGAGCCCCCCGGCAGTGCGCAGACGCTTAGGGGCCCTAGTCCCCAGCGGGATCAGGGCCAGCTCTGCAGGGAGACCGGGTGGAGGATGTGGCTGACACGGTCTTGCCCAGGGAAAAGTTGGGGGTCAAGGATGGGGGTCCGGTTTCTCCTCTGCAGGGGGAGAGGATGATGGGAGCTGCAAGGTGAACGGCCGCCTGTACCGGGATGGGGAGACCTTCCAGCCCCACTGCAGGATTCTCTGCCACTGTCAGGACGGCGGCTTCACCTGTGTGCCCCTGTGCACTGAGGACGTTCGGCTGCCCAGCTGGGACTGCCCGCACCCCAGGAGGGTTGAGGTCCCTGGCAAGTGCTGCCCTGAGTGGCTGTGCGACCAGCGAGGGGAGCTGGGGGTCCAGCCCCTCCCAGCCCAAGGTGCGTGCAGGGGGCGGGGCAGGGGCGGGGCTTCTCAGGAGCCGGGACCTGTCAAAGCCCCTGGGGCGGGGGCGGGGCGGGGGCGGGGCTTCTCCGGAGCCGGGGACCTGTCAAAGCACAGGTTTCCCTGACCGCAGCTGGGAGGGGCTGGTGGCTGAGGAGACTAGGAAAGCCGAGTGGGGCGTCACAAGACCTCTTTAAAACTGACAAAACAAGTAAATATTTTTAAATCATAAAAAATAGAAACTAAAAATTGGTAGCAGAGGGACGCCTGGGTGGCTCAGTCGGTTAAGCGACTGCCTTCGGCCCAGGTCATGATCCTGGAGTCCCAGGATCGAGTCCCGCATCGGGCTCCCTGCTCGGCCGGGAGTCTGCTTCTCCCTCTGACCCTCCTGCCTCTCATGCTCTCTGTCTCTCATTCTCTCTCTCTCTCAAATAAATAAAATCTTTAAAAAAATAATAATAAAAAAATAAAAATAAAAATTGGTAGCAGAGCGGGGAAGGGAAAGGAGGGCTAGGATACTTGAATCAAATGCTCACATTTCATAGCAGAGGTATACTATTATGACATATACTATTATTGTATTTATAATATATTGATATGTATTAGTAATACATTTATATCATTTAATATTACATAATATTATTAATATGTAGTTATTTGGGCTTATCCAAAGAAGAACCAGGCGAGGGGGTTGCCTCTGAGATGTGGGTTTAGGGGTGGGCAGAGGTGGAGGAAAGATAGTTACCTCTTGCTATAAATTCTTTAGTTTTAGAGAATTTGTTATGGTTATATCACTTGGTTATTATAATTATAGGAACATGGTCTTTTTAAAGAAAGGCATCTGAAAAGAAGGCATTGGGCCATGGATGACAGTGCCACCTGAGAGTAGAGCATGGTGGGTTCAGCATGGAGTCTGCCCAGGGTTCTAAGCCCAGCTTTGCTATTTCCTAGCTGTGTGACTCTGAGAAAGTTGCTTAACTTCTCTGTGCCTCAGTTCCTCCAACTGTGAGATGAGAGTAAGGGCGTCCACCTTGCAGAGTTGTTGTGAGGACTGGATGAGTAAATCCAAGGAAAGCGGTTACGGCAGTGCCTCGCACTCAGCACTCTATCCATGGTGGCTGTCATTATCCCTACGATGGAATGGGACACATCCACTTAAATACATAGGAGAATGCCAGTGAGTTCATCTTACGTATAAAAAAGCGGGATAGGACACTGTAGATGCGAGTCTGATCTCCATCATGTGTGTCCGTGTGTGTGTGCAGACAGCCTGCACACAGGAGCATATCACGCAGGCTTTCTCAACCTCGGCACCAGTGACACTCGGGCTGGGTGATGCTCTCGTATGGGAGCTGCCCTGTGCACTGTAGGGTGTTGAGCAGTATCCCTGCTGGACTCCAGTAGCCCCACTCCCCGTCGTGACCACCAAGATGTCTCTGGATATTACCAAATGTCCCTGCGGGAGGGCAAAGTCGCCCCCAGTTGAGAACCATTTGGTTAATAAGGACCAGAAGAAAAGACACCACAATAGTAACAGAGCAGAATGAGATGTCAGGAGGAGGAGAAGCTAGCTGGTGCTGAACCCCCCATCTTGTTCCAGGTACAGCCTCAGAAACTCTGGCAGCTTTGCCACCGGGTGCCAGCACCTCTATACACAGGCCACAGCCTCCTTCCTGGAAGATGCCATGGGGTGCAGCAATGAGAAAGCCGCCACCTACTGGGGGACCATCACGGCCAGCACCATCCTAGTTGCCTAGTAACCGACACAAACGAGGTGCTTACAGCACAGTGCTAAGCATGCCCCCTCTATTATTTTATTCAGCCCTAACAATCGCCCATTAGAAAGCTTACATAGGAAGAAACTGAGGTCCAGAGAGGTTACGCAACATGACCAAGATGGCACTGCCAGCAGCTGGGTTGACTTGGCTGCCAAGCCCTGATCTCACAGTGCTGACCTCTCTTTCTCCCCCCCCAGGACCCCGGTTTTCTGGCCTTGTCGCTCCCCCACCCCCTGGTGCCCCTTGCCCAGAGTGGAGCACGGCCTGGGGCCCCTGCTCAACCACCTGTGGGCTGGGCGTGGCCACTCGGGTGTCCAACCAGAACCGCCTCTGCCGACTGGAGACCCAGCGCCGCCTGTGCCTGCCTGGGCCCTGTCCACCTGCCAGGGGCCGCGGCCCATGGAACAGTGCCTTTTAGAGCAGGCCTGGGAATCTGGAGGTTCCGTGCCCGCCCTCCCCAGCAGGCAAGCCAGTGCTTGGGCCCTGAGCAGAAGGCAGATGGCCCCTCCCCGCCCCCTTGGCTGGGGCAACGACATCCAGGCCCCGGAGGACAAGAATGTTCACAAGTCATCTGGTCCACCTGGACCCTGAGATAGAGCCGGGATGTCTGCCCCAGTCCCCCTTCCTCTACCTCACAGCCTAGGCTGGCCAAGGTTTCCAGAGTCTTCTGGTCCATTCCCAGCCTCCACACAGCCTTTATCAAACATGTGCATAGGCAAGCTTTCCAGCAGATAGGGCAACCAGCTGTCCCTTAATCATTAGGTCGAGGCAGGTGCTGGGCTGGACTGGCTATTTTTCCAGGGGTGTGGTGAAAAGGGGCACGCAGATATTCTGAATTTCCTGCTTCCTTTCCTGGAGTGACATAAAAACGTCCCCAAATACATGCCTGTGCAAGAGCTTGTAGGTCCGGCTTATGCTGTCTGAGAAAGCCTGCCCCATCCAGGGCAGAATTCAGAGGCTGTGTGCTTTGTGAAAATCACAAGGTGAAATCACACTGTCTTGAAGAAAGTCAGAAAGCAGGCCTGAGAGTGATCCCTTAAACCTAACTTGTATTATTAAGAATGAACCTTTCTCAGGCACCTGCAATGTGCCAGGCGCTGAGCTAGACTCTTTATATATAGGTTGGTGCTTTGCAACATTTAAGACCAGAGAAAAGTAGGGGAGAATGAAGGATAGCCCCTGGGGACTGGGGAACATGGCCTGAAATAAATCAACCCAAGCGTGAAATTCCGTCTGGAGTCTCATGTCTTATTGTTTTGTTTTTTTTAAACCCACATAAAAACTTTCCATCCTCCTCTGTGATCTACATGTTATGTTTAAAAATAAAAATTGTGTTTTCATCAGACTCCAACCAGGAAATTGGAGAACACTCTCAGTATTTAAACAGGGATTTCTTCTTATTAAACTAATTTGATTGAGGCACGGTTTACACACAGTGAAGCACACAGGTCTTAACATACGGTTTACCAAGTCTCTGCAAACGTGAACACCTGTGTAATCCATCAAGATACAAAACATTTCCAGAATCTCAGGAAGTTTCCATTGGCCCCTTCCCGGACGCCCCCTCCGCCCCTGAAGGCAACCCCTGTTCTGAGTTTTACCACCAAAGAGGATGGATAGCCAGTTCTCGAACCTCACATCAATAGACTCATGCAGTAGGTATTCTTCTATGAATGGCTTCTTTCACTTGGTACCAGCTGTTGGGATGGAGGGTTTGAAGGAGAGCCCAGAAGCTGGGACCAGCCAGCGGAAGATGGAATCACAGCAGGTCCCTCCAGCAGGAGCAGATGCAGCCTTACAGACCTAACAAAAAGCCCATAGAGCTGGGGAGGCAGACCTGGCTTCTGCTCTCTCCCACCCCCAGGTTCTGGTAGTGCCTCCCATTGGTCAACCCCACTGGGAAGGGGAGAGGCAGGGGAGCCTGGGAGTGTGGTCTAAAGGAGAGCCTGGGAGTGTGGTCTAAAGCAGAGCAGGGAAAGGATGACCCCAGCTCCCAGGATGGGCATGACCCGCCCCTCGAAACAGCTGCCTTTGCTCAGGTACCACCTCCTCCCCAAACCCCAGATTGTGAATCACAGGCAGCATCGAGCCACCTAATCTTCACAAAATAGAATTAACACCAGTTCACAGAGGAGGAGACTGCTTGGGAAAGTGACCTGTCCAAAAGCTGGTCTGCAACTGGGGAGTGAATTTAGCCCACGCCAAGGTGACCTGACTCAAGCCTGGGTTGATGGTCTCTCACAGGCTGAGAGTTTCAGTGGGTCAGGCTCTGCAAGGGTAAACGCTGAACACACTGCTGGGAAAAATTCACGTAATATCTCTAGAAACAGTAACAGCCAGGATGAAGACAACAGACCTGCATTGAATGATTCCTGCATGTGGGGCCTTTGCTGCCAGGGGCTTTATCCACAATTGCATGTTGCTCTTGCGACACCCCTAAAGGAAAGTGCTACTGATATTCCCATTTTAGAGATGGGTAAACTGAGACTTGGAGCAATGAATGAGTTGTCCTGGGATTGTGGTGCTGGACCCCGGGCCAGCTGGCTGCAAGGCCCTCAACTTCACTACCGAGCAGCTGTGAACAGAGCTACACAGAGTGGGCTCAGCCACCTGCCCCGTCTTTGCTCTGCTGTTTCCTAGTGTGATCTTAGGCAGGGTACCTAACTTCTTTGTGCCTCAGTGTCCTTTCCTCTAAAATGGGGATAATGCCAGTACTCTACACAGAGCGTTGCTGAGTATTATGTGGTTTAAATAACAATTTTAGCTATCATACTCTTGACCTTTTAGTGCTTAAGTCTTTTCATCTGTAAAATGGGCATAAATAGCAGTGCCCACCCTATAGGATCACTGTGTCGAGTGAGTTCCCAACACATAGGGGTGTTGTGAGTATTAGGTCAATAATTCCTCTGTGTTTACTTGAAATATAATCTATTATTATTATTATCCTGCCTCCAGGATTCTTTGCAAGTCAGAGAGTGATATGAGGCAAAGGCTGGGAATTTTCTTGTTTGTAAAGAAGAGGAGGTGGGCGGGCGCCTGGGTGGCTCAGTCGTTAAGTGTCTGCTTCGGCTCAGGTCATGATCCCAGAGTCCTGGGATGGAGCCCCACATCAGGCTCCCTGCTCCACGGGAAGTCTGCTTCTCTCTCTCCCACTCCCCCTGCTTGTGTTCCCTCTCATGCTCTGTCTCTCTCTGTCAAATAAATAAAATCTTTAAAAAAAAAAGAAGAGGAGGTGGTGTTGGGGGCAAAGGTCACAGGTGAAAATCAGACTAAACCCCACTGAAATTCATAGCCCAGAGGTACCGGGCCCAGCCTTTCCCTGTTTTTTATATATATGTTTTAAAGATTTTATTCTTAAGTAATCTCTACACCCAATGTGGGGTTCGAACTCACAACCCCAAGATCAAGAGTCGCACACTCCACCGACTAAGCCAGCCAGGCACTGCCCCTCCCCCCCGTTATATTTGTATTTGTAATATCCATGTTGTTGCATGTTCTCTACACTGTATGGTATTCTATTGTATGAATATTTACTACATTTCATTTATCCATTCTATACTTGATGGGTAGTTTCCAGTCTAGGGCTATTATGAAGAGGGTATTGTGAACATTCAAGCCCACATCTTCTGCTGGACATTGGTGAACATTTCTGTTGGATAAACATCCAGGAGTGGAATTGCTAGGGTCTGCGCTCTTTATCCTGGGTCAGACTATCTCTCAGTACAATGCAGGTCTCTCTAAAATAAGTGCTCAATAAGGACTTATTGCATAAATAATAAAAGTTAACATTCATTGAGTTCTAACCACATACAAGACTCTGTTCCAATCACCCACTTGACCCTCATAATAACCACCTGAAATATAATTATGTCCATTTCACAGATGGAGAAACTGAGATATGGCAAATTAAGGAAATAGCCCAAGTTCACAGAGTTCACAGTTGGCAGAACCAGGATTTAAACCCAGAGAGTCCTGCTCGAGGGCCCATGCCCTTGGCCACGAGGCTCCCCTTGTGGGAGTCACTGTAGCATTCATGGGTAAGGCACGCCAGCCTGGACAGGTGGTGGGGGTGGGAAAGAGGAAACGGATGGGAGAATCACTGTGGCCTGACATTGATGTGAGCAACAGGGAAGCTAAGATACCCAACACAGCCCTGGGCTTTGTGCTGGAATATGGCAGAATGGAGGGGCCACACCGGCAGAAACCGGGGAGAGTGGAGGAGCCCTTACAGGTGGCAGATGGGGGGGGTTTCCTCAATGTTTTGAGTTTGAGGAGGAAGTAGTCACCCAGGACAGTGTGGCAGGAGGCCGCTGGACATCAAAGATAGGTCAGGTAGACATGGACAGACATAGAGACAAGAGTTCAGGTCAGGAATTAGAGTTGCTCGCACAGAGAGGAGTAGATCATCCGATGGCCCTGGCCATTGAGTTACGGAAACACAGACAAGTACATGTGTATGCTGGTGTGTATAACCTCTTATCACCCCTGTCCTCCCACTGGTCCCCCAGCCGGGGCCGCCACCATCTCTGCCCTGATGACCCCTGCAGGCTCCTCTTGCTCTCCCGGCTTCCTCCCTGCTTCTTACAGTGTGTGCCAAAGGGATCCCGTGAACACCAAGCCAGCCCAGGCCACACAACCCACAGGGCCCTGCTCTGTGCCCCAGTCACCTCTCTGCCCTCACCCCCTTGCTCATGCTTTTCTGGCCTCATGGTCCTCCTGGCTGTTTCTTGAACATGCTCGGCACGCTCCCACCTCAGGACCTTTGCACTGGCTGTTCCCTCTGCGTGGCATTGTCTTCACCAGATACCCCCATGGATAATCCCCTTGCTCTCTTTCAGGTTGGACTCACAAGTTGACACTTCCCGGAGCATCCACCTCAGCCTCCCTCTTCCATCCCCCCAATGCATGTAGCACATATCATGTTTTAACACACCACCTGACTTGTTTGCAACATCTATTATTTGTTGCCTGAGCCACAAGCGCTGGTTGGGACTTCTTTTTTCTGCTTTGTTCCCTGATGGGTTCCCAGGACCTACAACAGTACCCAGGACAGAACCAGGCTTGGTCCTTATTGAATGAATGAAATAATATAGCTTCTTTTTGAAAAGGGATTTAATGGGGCTTAGAAAAGTAAATACGTCGTTGTCAAATGGGAGTGGCTGCCCAGTTGACAGTGATTTCCCAGGGGCCACGTCTGGGTGGGTCAGAGCTCCCCCCATCCCCACCCAACATTCAACCTCAGTGTGTCTCAAAGTGGGGTCCCCAGACCAGAAGCATCCGCATCACCTGGGAACTGGTTAGAAACGCAAGTATCTTGTGTCCCACTCCAGACTCACAGGAACTCGTGGGATGGGACCGGAAGTCTGTGTTTTAATAAGTCCTCCACCTCATTAAAGTCTGAGATTTCTAGAGTGTGGCTGGGGAGAATGGGCGAAGACGGCGGTGTGCTTCTGCCCCCTCGTGGCACTGCGGGGGTACTGCGGGGCCCGAACGGACCAGCTGCCCGAGCGGGGAGGAGCCCTCCCACTGCGCCCGCCCCCGGGAGTCTCAGCCAGCGAGGGCGGTGGAGGGAGGCAGGGACAGAACTCGGCCTGGGAGTCCTCCCTATTTGCGCCAGGGCCGCAGCTTCCTTCACTTCAAATACTACAGAGATGCCTGTGAGGACTCCTGCACTGCCCTGAGCCAGAGCCCCTTCATCTGTCCCCAGATGACCCCCCCCAGCCCCGTCCCTCTACGCACAGCCCAGCTCCCTCCTCCCGCAGCCAGACTCTGCAGCATGGTTATGTCACTCTGCTCAAATCCCTCCGAGGCTCAGAGCTGCCTTCTGGGATGGGTCCAGGCTCCTTCCATGACCCACCGGCCTCCTCTGTGCCCCCCAGCACACTGGATGGTTGGGGCTCCCCACTCCAGCCCCGGGGGCACTCTTTTCCCCACGTCTAGCCTGGATGACCGCCCCCCCCCATTATTCTCCGTTAGTCCCAGTTACCATGTCTACCTGAGGCCAACCCTCCCCTTGTGCACAGGCTCCCACCCCTCTTGCCTTCCCAGGTGATGCAGCCCTGCCAGGCCCCCCTTTCCCTCCCATGCCTTCCATTTCTCCCTCTCTTCCAGATCATTCCCATCAACACACACATATGTTGGCTACTCGGCTAACAAGAGGTAGGGTGCCCTCTTCAAGGGGCAATTCCAGCAGCCTCACTGGGGGTGTCAGGTGCTATAAAAATATCCACCTGCCTCTCGATGGCTAAAATGGGGTCTAGGGTCTCAGCCACATTCTCAGCAACAGGGTCGTGATTTAGCCGATTCTCAAGAACTTTCTCCTCTTCTGCTATGATTAGTTACAACTTCAGGTGGGAACCCAAGGGCAGGGTGTCCTCTTGGACACCCTGAGGTTGGCCAATGAGCACAGTTGTAAGTGGCCCCATCACACTGATCTGGTTCTTCTCGGCGGCCCATTCACTGCCTCCTGGCCCCTCCCTACTGGCTTTCATGAAAGTATTCTGGATCACACTGCTGGGCTAGGTCTTTTCATCCACTCTGGGTGGGATGGGCAACACTAACAGGAGCTGCTGCTCCCCAGCCCTGAAGCCAGCCAGAGCCAAGCACAGGTGACTGACTTTGACTTTCACCCTCTTCTCCCCTCAAGGACTGGACCTCCATGTCCTGATAACCCTCCTGCATCCCCCAGTCTCGGAGACATCCCCCTCACATCCCGTGGCCCTCCTGTCCTCTCCTGGTCCCTGCTCTGTGCCCCACCTTCACCCCCATCAAAGCCCAAGGTTTTGGAACCAAATGCACCATCTCACTGCTTTCTCCAGATGCCCAGTCCAGGGCCCTGATGGGAGTCTCCCTGGGGCCTTTCGCTCAGCAGATTTCTCAGCTATCTGAATTTGATCTCCAAAAGAAACCTACATTTATTTTGTCAACAGTCCTATTTGTAATGTTTCCTTAATCGCTGTGGTGTACATACGGCTCTTCATCATATTGCTGCTTAGACCCTGATGCAGGTCTTTATTAACTAGGGTAAACCAGTTTCCAGTTGTAAGCAGGCCCCAAATTGGGAGCGTTCTTCCTGGGGAAGGAATATTTTAACACTGGCAATGTTTAGATTTACTGGTATGTGGTGATAATAAAAAGCAGATCGAATTTAGCCAGTTTTATTATAGTTTTAAAAGTCTTTAAAGACAAGGCCCCCTACTGTCACCTGCATCTGGGGGCAGACCACTCCATCACCATGACCCCCCTCGGCTTACTAGCTAAACCACAAAGTCTATTTCTCAGTTACATAGCATTCCTAGCAGGTGTTTCCGGTAGGCAGTCTCCTCCACAAAATGATTGAGAGACTCAGACTCCTTCGATCTTATGGCCCCACCCCATCCCCACCTTACCTGCATCCAGAATGGGATGAACAGGTCAGGTAGGCGGTTTGGCCATTCCATGCAAAGCCTTAAGACTGTTTCTGGAACAACTGGGATACGGTTACCATCATTTTGACTCAAGTAGCCAAACTGTTATAGGATAAGCCTCCAATTGCCAGAGGCTATGTCTGCCACCCCGAGAAGAGACTGCCTGAAAAATAAAATCACACAGAGCCAAGTAATTAAGAGAAACAGATGCCAGGCAATAGGTTTGAGCTGCTGGATCCAGCCATGCCTGACGTTATACATCCCTAAAGGTTTCTGTTATGTGAACCAGTAAATTCCATTTATATTTAAACGAGGCTGAGTTGGGTTTCTATCACTTGAGCTAAAAGAGTCTTGACAAATATAATTGTATATGGCAGTGTAATTACCGGTCTATTCTTGGCTTTTCTGTTGGGTTTTGCTCCCTAGAAGCCAAGTAGATTTCTGATTCATCCTTGTGTCCCTGAAGCCAGCACAGGACCTGGCACATGGTAGGTATTTACCACATGCCTGCTGAATGGTGACAGACACTTGGGTTCCAGTCCCAATTCTGCCTCTGGTTTGACCTTGAACACCTGATTCTCCTTTCCAAGCCCCGTTTCCAACTGCAGCAGAGATGGTCATCTCTGCCCTGCCTTGCTCGAGGGCTGTGGTGAGGACCAGATAAGTCCAGGCTTATGAAAGGGCTTGGCAAACTAAAGCTCTACATACACGGGAGCCATAATTATATTTTCAAGGATGTACATTTTGTCCTAATTTCACCAGCCCCCAACAGACTGTGGGTTCTTGGGACAAGTCAGACAGCATGTTAGAAGAACAGAAGGAAGATCTGAGAAGAGCAGCCTCAGCTGCCCCCAGCACCACCTCCCTGCAACATCAGACGTGATGCACCTGCAGATGAGACCAGCAAGACAGGCCCCTGGTGCCCAGCACCTGCCTCCCACAGAAATCACTGAGACAAGGGGTCCCAGTGTCTCCTTAAATTTAAGTCCTTGTAAGTGACATGGTAATGGGGCACAGCCTGGTTGCTTGTTCTCCAAACTGTTTCTCTTTTTCTCCCAGGCACCCAGAGAGAGACCACATCTTCTGGCCAGGTGACTGAGGTCTGGCCATGGGCTATGATTCCAGATCTGAACCATAAGCCCCCCGCCCCCATACAATCCACCACACTTCCTCTCTCCCCTTGTCCGCTGGTCCCATGCAGGGGACCCAGTGGAGGACTTCAAGGCTCTAGAACACAGTTCTTAACTGTTCTTTATGAGCCTAGGTCTCCTCAGACAGGTTGTTGGGGAACATGATCAAAAAGACGTGACCGCAGATTGACCCCTGAGCTGGACCTGGCCCTCAGAGGCTCCCCACCCCCTCCCTTGTCCTTGGAATGTGGGTTCCACTTGCTTTCCCTGCTCCCAGAGACCATTCCAAGGACATAGCCTTGAGATGGTAATGTGGCGTTGAAAACAACGGCAGGGTGTATGTGACTGAGCCCAGGTAGGTCTTCTTTATAAGCTTTTAAGATTTGGCAGGCAGGTGCAGGGAGCCACTGGTCTTGCTTCGGCCCAAGACAAGCCTCGTATGTGAGTTCCCTTGGCTATGATTAAAACTGCCACCTACCACCCTGGAGTGTCCCGCCTCTTCCTCCGGTCTCTCCCTGCCCTCTGCATATGGGGGCCGGCTTCAGTCTACACCGGGGAAGCTCCCGAGAGGGTTGTGAGCTTACTCGGGTAAAATCTATGATTTCCTTCTCAGACTAGTAATATTAAATGCATAAAATAAAATATATGGTTACAAGCGAAACAAAGGATCGAAATACGGTCACTAAAACAAAAAAGTATGCAAGACAATTACATATGTGCTTCTTTTTTAACACAGTAAACAAGATTGAGTCTAGTTACTGTAATTTCAGCGTGACGGATAAGGAGGATAGGAGTACTTTGCGACATCTGCAGTAACAGCAATGCGATATGAAAGTACCTGTGATTTCTCCTGGCAACAAGTAGGTACAGCTAATATTACTTTAAATTCCATCCACAGGCCCCTCATCTCCGGGCTAAGAGTCCCTGCATTAGGGCATGATGGAACCACAAGAAAGAAGGAGCCTGGGTCCCTGGGTGACCACATGGAGCAGAGGCCCCTGCAACACGTATTCAACCCAGAGGAAAAGATGAGTGTTTTCCAGGAACATCAAGACCCTGGGGCCAGCTGGGTGAACCTCAACAAGTGTTCCAACCTCTCTGAACCTCAATATCCTCAAAAGAAAACGTAGACCATGATCCCAGTCTTATAGGTCAGCCATGAGGATGGGAGACATCAGTTCTAGATGCTTGCAAACTCTATGTAATTGATATCTGAGGTCTTCAGACACCAGCCCGTGAGCTGGGACTAAAAATAAGGACAACACGGTGAAATCTCATTAAGTTAAATGGACGCCATCTGCAGGGCAGTCTTTTACCATGAACTGATGACCTTCCTAATTAGAGGGGTTATGAAATTCATTCTTGTATAAGCTGAGGATGATTCTAAATAATACTTGTGGATTTTCCCCCATTGTTCTTACTTTGCAAATGGAGTGGGGAGTCTTACTTGAATTCACCCGTATTTTATGAAATTTGGTGGTTTATGAAGTCCAAAAAGTAGGAGACCACAAAAATAGCCATTCATATTATCACCCCAAACTAATCAAGCTTAGGGAGGATTTGATCCCCGACCTGGCAGAAGTTTGAATGACAATAATATTTAACATGTGTTTCAATGTGTCCCAAACTGATCTAAATACTTGACCTGTGTCCTTGGTTTCTCGAGTAATCTGAACTTAGTGAAGGACACACAGAAATGGGTTTAGTTTTTCTTCAACCACTGTCTTCGAACACATTCAGTCAAACCTCTCCTTGCCTGCGCCTTTCAATCTAGCTTGAACATCTCATCATATCCTATTGAACGCTTCTGCTAAATCAGGACTGACCCTTCACCTCAAGAACACATTGTTATTTAACTTAAACTGTTAAGTAGCCTAACTAGGTGCACCTTGCAACACTATGTGGTAGGTACTATTATTAATGGCATTTTACAGATACTAAGGCCCAGAAAGGTGAGGTAACTTGCCCCAGGTCACACAGCTAGTAAGTTATAGACACAGGATTCAAACCCTGTCTGGCTGTCTGGCTCCAGAATCTTGCCCTGAATCTCTGCCTTATAGTTCTCTGCAGCCCCGAGAGCAGGGTGAGAGTCCCTTTCACACCTTTCTCACCCCCACCCCGTCTAAGTTCTAGCTTCTCCTGTTTATGAGACCTGCAGTGGAGGAAAGGGGACAAAAATTAGCTGGTGTTGCTTCACGTCCTCTCAGGGGGATGGATTCCTTCTGCGTGGCAAGTGTCCAAAGGCTGGTATCCCTGGGCCATGTGAGGAGCTTATCCAGGGCCCCTGTGGTGGTCTCCTGTTTGTTGGGGGAGACCTAGGACCCCCTGACCTCTCTCAAATTCTGTCCCCAGAAGTACACTTCACAGCCTCTTTCTGCCAGAGTCCTCTTTCCTGGAAAGCAAAACCATCCTCCCTTTTGGGCAGGATACTGAGCAGATGGCCCAGCACCTACTCAACTCATGGGAAGCTCGCCCATCCTTGCATGGCCAAATGGTTGGGTGTGCAGGATGCCCCACCCCCCACCCTGACATCTCTCTTGAACCACTTTCTCCCAGATCAACAGATACGACAGGCAGATGTGCAGGCCTGCCTGATAAGCAGTCAGAGAATCAGATACCACTCACCACTTCTGGCAGGAACCCCAAATCTCTCCCAGCAGAATCTGTCAGGACAAGGGGAGTACCTCTCTCTTCTTTCCCCAAGAAATTAGAAACAGAAAAGGTATGTCGTTTCTCCCTACTCTAGAAATTCATTCTCAAATTCAAATCTTCTGCTTATGCTGAGGGGGCAGGGATAGGGTAGGAGAAAAGCTGGTATGACATCCCTCAGAAGGCCCTACAGACATGTGTCTTGTGGCTTTCTGGAATATGGGGGCATTTAGCACCTTGTGGTTTTAACTGGAAATATGAGGCAACAGGAAAAGTCCCATTTAAGAGATTGTGATGTGTATGTCATCAAATTTCATCCTCACAACAGCCCTATACGGTAAGTTTATTAATTAGAGTAATGGTAGTTGCTATAACAAGCAAACCCCAAAATTCAGCTGCTTCACTCAACAGAAGTTTATTTCTTACTCACATGATATTCCAAGGCAGGTAGTTTCTGGTTGGAGTTCCTTCGTGTGAGGAGTCAGGTGGCTTACAGGTTGTGGCTCCCCCAAACTCCTGGGCCTGGGGATGTTCTGCAGCTACCTTGCAGGCAGGGATGGAGAAGCTCACCTGCTCCCTAAGCGCCCAGCCTGGAGATGACACTCACCACTCCCACTCCCATTCCATTGGTGGGGACTAGTCACGTGATCGTGCTAAGACGCAAAGGAGGCTGGGAAGTGTAGTCTCTGTCTGGGCAGGTGTCTTCCAGAGACAACACACTAGTCTTTGTGTGTCACACTAGTAAGTGTGACAAAGAAGCTTTCTTTACCAATGTCTGTTTAATCAGCTCACCAGGCTAACCTGAGCTCTTCGTTCCTTCTGAACACAACACTCCTGCCCCAGGCATAATGAATGCTCACGGCTGGTGGGCCACTCTGGTACTCTTGCCCCCTTCTGTGCGCCCCCCCAAATGATGTTATGGATCACAAGTTTGTATACTCCCCACCCCCAAATTCATATGTTGAAATCCTAATCCTCAATGACAGTATCAGGAGGTAAGGTCAAGAGGGTGGAGCCATTCTGAATGGGATCAGTGCCCTTATAGGAAGAGGTATGCGAGGGCTTGCTTTCTCTCTCTGTTCTCTGCCATAGGAAGCAAAAATGAGAAGACCACTGTCTGTAAACCACGAAGAGGGATTTCACCAAGAACCCGGCATGCTGGCACCCTGATCTCCGACTTCCAGCCTCCATCACCATGAAGAAGTAAGCCACATAGTCTAGGGTATTCTGTTACAGCAGCCTGCTAAGACAAATGGCACGTTTGCCAAGAATCTGTTGGGTTCGTTCCCAAATCAGTTTGCACTGGCCACACTTGTTATTGTAACGATATTCCACAGGCGGATGAAATATGAGTGCAAAAAGGAAGAGATTTGTTTTTATGAAAATTCGGTAGAGACGAGTTGCTAAAAAATACTGTCAATTTAGGCACGGAAGAAACAATGACAAGAGAGCCAGGAAAAGGTTGCCACGAGAATCTAGAGGGATTCTGCGCTCAAACTGCTGCACAACGTCTTCAAATGCTTATTCCGCTTGAAATAAACCCAAATCGGAAATCAGAAGATAGATTCTGTAGCTTATGTAAGGAGAGCAATGTGAAAAGCCAATTAACAGCTCCACACTGAAAGAGAAGAATGGCAAGTGTTCAAGGTGCATATCATTTAAAATAATCCCATGCTTTCATGAACTAACCCTGGTCCCAGCTGAGCTGGATATGTAGGCTTCTCTAGGATTATTAGCCTCATTTTACAGGTGAACAAACTGAGGCCCAGGATAACAACACCTAAATGGTGGAGCCAAGATTCAAAAGCAGCCGGTGTGGTTGCAAAGTCTGTGCTGACTCCCTATACTAGTGATGTGCAGTGGAAGTTTCCATGATGATGGAGATGTTCTGACCTGCTCTGTCCAACGTCGTAGCCACTGGCACTTGCGGCTAATGAGCACATGAAATGTGTCTGGTGTGATTGAAGAACTGAATTCCAAAGCTGAATTGAATTTTAGTTAATTTAAAGATCCATGGCCACCTAGGGCTAGTGGCTACCACAGGGGACAGAGCAGATCTGGGCTACACTAACTTTAACACGTGCCTTGCTGAGCATCTTTTATGTCTTTGCCTTGACCCTTTCCAGACAATGATGCCTTCTGAAATCCAACTCTGCCCCCTTTGATTCCCATGTCCCTTGATTCCAATCCATTATGCTGATTGGGGAATGGAAGGGGTGGGCATTAGCAGGAGGAGAAGGGACAGGCCTGTTAGCAACATCTGAACCCCAACTGCCATGTGGCCATGACCGCCATCTTGTGCTGGCATTCCGCTATGCTCCTCAGGGCGGGGAAGTGTCACCCTTTGGAGCGAGAGCTTGCCAGTAGGACAGGACGGCTCCTTCCCCGCCTTGACAGTGGCTTCCTCCCCTGGGAGGTGGGATGAAAAGTGCCGCATGTGAGGATGACATGAAGAGACACCTGCTGAGAGCCTAGCTCCCCGCCCGGATCCTAGTAACTGCTCAGTAAATGTCCTTCCAGTTCACTCCAACCTGCAGAGTAACCCTCCAGCTCAGACCAAAGGAAGAACGGAAACAAAAGGGGGTGGGGATGGAGAGAGAGAGAGAAAAGGTTCTTTTAAAAAACAATCTTATTGTGAAAATTCTCCATTGGACATGAAAGGACACAGAATGGTTTAATAAATCCCCACACTCCTATCGTTCGTTTTTAAAATTATTAATCAGGGTAAAGGTTTTAATTTCTCCATTAACCTAAAGATACCCATCCTCAGGAAAGTGAAGAAATCCCAAAAGCTCCAACTGAATGGCCACAAACTCATGTTGGGAATCCTTTGAGCAGCTCTGGCGGGTCCCAACATTCAGAGACAGGGTCTCTGTCACGCTCAGACAGTTGCCACTTGTCCCCCCAGTAGTATCTGCATCAGCCTGGGAACAATGGTGCCCCCCACACTGGGTATGGCTATGGGTTTCCCTGGTGGTAGGTTCTATCTCTCTGGTTCCCTCAAACCATATGGTTTGTCTTCTAGTGCCTGGAAGATTCTGCAAGAACCCCAGATCCTGCCTACAATGTTCTTTAAATTAGCAAGGGCAGCTTTTGATTTCTTGCAGCCTGGATCCCTAAGTGATACTCAGGCTGCAGAAAGGTTCCTGCTGCCATCTCAAAGGAGCTGATACCTGAGGCCAAAACAATCCATTCTTTTAGGACAGAGACAAGAGAGAGATCTTATCAAGGAAAACACCTGGGCCCTCTGGGCTTCTGGAAAATTACTGAACTATATTCTAACTATAAAAATCAATCCTTTAAGATCCCAGGAGGCCTGTGGAATAAGCAGTGTGAAAAAGGACAAGAAAAAATTAATTGGGTATAAGGGGTTCTAACATTTGCTGGGCACCTACTCTGCGCTGAGCGCTCCTTCATGCTTTCATTTAATCCTCACAGAAATACTGGGAGGCCTATATCTTTACACCCATGCCACAGATGAGGAAACTGAGGCTCGAAGGTGAAGTCATTTGTCCAAGAGGGAATTGAGGCCTGGCTCACTCAGAAACTCCTGTTCTTTCTTCTGTCCTGCCCTGATCCACCCTACGTGGCAGCCACTTCTGCTCTGTGAGTCTGTGTCTTCTCTCTGACATGGGAAAAGCAAGGCCTGCCTGGCTCACAATGCTTTCAGAAGGCTCTAGACTCATAAGGGATGCAGAGTGCTTTGGAAGGCGCCCAGGGTCCAGCCGGGGACTGGGATTACCTTCCTCGTTGTCCTCAAAGCTGGCAACCTGGGGCCCTGGAAGAAGATCCAAGGCCTCGCTGAGGGGCCACGCATGTGACTCTGGCATAAAGGGACAGACAAAAATCACTGGGTCCCCTCAGGTTCCCGGAGGAGGAAGGAGGGGGGGAGGCAGTGGGAGGGGCAGCTGAAGGGGGGTGCCTTGGAGTGCTGCCGGTCTTGATGACTGCTCAGCTGACAGTTTTGCAAGCTGAGAAATACACATCCACAAACTCTAACCTCTTCTGGCTTAAAATAGAGCTGCTGAACCCAAAATGCCAAGCACAGGGCAGAGTCACCTGCCTGGCAGGGCCCGACAGCTCCCCCATGGCCCCAATAATACCCACCCCCAGCGGGCACACCCGACAAGACGCTGCTCAGCAGTGTGTCACGGGGGCCTCACGGTGCTGGGGGCAGCCAGCCAGGGTTCCTCAGCTCCAGCTTAGAGACGAGGAAGGTGGAGGCCAGAGAGGCAATGGGAGGAGGATAAAGCCGGGGGCATGAGGCCTGAGAAAGCAATGTGGTGTATTGGAAGGATCATGACCTTGGGGACCACACGGCCCTGAGCTCAAGTCCTGGCTCAGCCCCCGCTTGGCCGGGAGGACCTGGCAAGCGGGGCATCTTCCCCTCTGTGCCTTGGTTTCCCGCACTGGGAAGTGAGGGCTGCCTTAGTAAGGTCTGTGATATGCCTAGCACAGACACGCGCTTCCAGAAAAAGAATTCTTGACATCTGCAGGCAGTCAATTGTACACAGGGAGGAAACGCGGCTACTGCGGCCGGGCTCCTGGAAAGCGACGCACAAGATCTGTTATGATCCTCGGCATGGTCCCATGAGGTGGCCATGATCACCTGCGTTTCTCGGGTGGGAAAACCAAGGCCAGAGAAGTGTTCTAGCCACATTCGCCCACCCAGAAAGTGGAGGAGCTGTGTCAGTGACCAGGACTCATTAACTGTCTTCGGAAAGCTCTTTTCAGACCCCTCTGGGGCAGTAAATCCACAGCGCTCCAACCCCTGCCGCTAAGACTGTGACCTGGCCTCCGGCTCCCCTGAAGGCTGGGCAGGAATCAGAAAAGCAAACTAGCTGATGCCATTACTGCAAATGAGGCTTCTGGGCCACGGAGCTGCGGTCTGGCTTCCCAGGGGAGCAGGGGTGCAAGGCCCCCGATTCAGGCCCAGAACCGAGTAGAGCACATGCTATAATGTCCCTGCAGGCCCGGGCGTTGGCTCACTTGTGATATCTGAAACAGTGGCTAACACTTCTAGAGGAGTCCTCAGGGCCAGATGCTGCTCTTACTGCTCCCTGCCTCTGCGCTCCTCCCTCCTCACAATCACTGAAGTCATTCCCCCCTGCTGCTCAAAGAAATGATCCCAATGTAGCGGCTTGAACAACACCAATGCACCATGTCCCACTTCCATAGCATGGAGGCCTACACAGGTCCCGCTGGCCTGAAACTGACGGATTGGCAGGACTGCATTCCCTTCTGGAGGCTCTAGGGAGGCATTTCCTTGCCTTTTCCAGATTCTAGAAGTCACCGGCTCTCCCTGGCTTGTGGCCCCTTTCTCCATCTCCAAAGCCAGCAACATCGGACCAATTCCTTCTCGTATCTCCTTGGTTGTCCCTCTTCTGCCTGCCCTGTCCATGTATAAGGACCCTTGTGATGACACCGGGCCCACCCAGAGAGTCCAGGATAACCTCCCGTCTCCAGGTCAGCGAACCTTCTTTCCACCTGCAACCCTCCCTCCTCTCTGCTGTGCATCCTAACCTACTTACAGGTTCCAGGAAAAGAATGTGGGCATCTTTGCGGGGGGCACAGCACCTTATGAGATAGGAAATTCTCTATCCTGTTTTACGGGGCGGGGGGCACTGAGTCATCCCACGTTTGCACACTGGTAAGCAGCAGACTGGGATACGAACCCAGGCAGTCGTGGTGCAGAGTCCATGCCCTTAACTTCTACAGGCTGCAGCTGCTCCTCTGTCCAGTCACTGGGCGTATGCTGTGCCAGATCCGGGTGCCGGGGACAGAGAGGTGACCCAGACAGGATCCCTGTCCTCAGGAGGAACACAGATATGGAATGGGAGGATCACAGTGCCATGGGACGAAGGCAAGAGGGCAGGAGCTCAGAGGCCTTTGGCAGCACAGAGGGAGGCCATCTGCAGAGGGGCCGGGGAGGGCCACGTCCAGTAAACTGGGAGCTGAAGGATGAACGGGGCATCAGCCAGCCATGGCTATGGCGTAAGGAGACTGTCGTGATAAAATGCATGATACTGGCAAAGTGCTTCACCCGGTGTCTGGCCCCTGGCAGGCATTCGATGAATGTGGGCTGTGGAGTGTGATGGGAAGGGGACTGTTCTAAGCAAAGCAAGAGTTTGGGCAAGGAGCTGATAGTTCGGTGTGGCTGAAACAAACAAACAAAAATCACAAAAGGGCAGCGGGGCGAGAGGTTGGAGTAGAGATGGGGGGACAGGGGATGTGTGCCAAGGCTGCCGCAGAGACCAGGCCACGCAGATGCTCTGGACACCTGCAGGTGAGGCTGCCAGGTGCTTGCCCAGAATCTCCCCAAAGACCCACCCCGGACTCTGGTGCTGGGTGGCAGGACTGGATTCCTTGGGGAGTGAGGTCAATGGAAGGCTCCCCAAGCACCCAGCTGTTCAGGCCAAAGACCCCGGGGTCATCTGGAGTCCCCCTTTGCCCTCCAGATCCAGCCCATCAGCAGGTGTTCCTGCTCTGCACATCAGGGTTACACCAGCTGGGGTAACAGACTGAGCCCATAGCTCAGGGGCTCAACACAACAGAAGTTCGGAATCGGTGCACCTGGCGTGGGGGCGGCCTTGCGGTGTCATTTGGGCACCCAGGCTCCTTCCACCCTGTGGCTGTGCCTTCTCCTAAAGACTTTACCTCTCTGCATTCAGCCTGCGGGTGGGGGACGAGAGGTGGAGCACGGCATGGGGAGGGGTTTACCAGCCAGGCTGGGAGCATTGGCGACAGTTCTAAGTGCAGAGGAGGCTGGGAAATGTGGCTAGCTATGTGTGCCCAGCTCCAGCTCCAGCTCCCCACCCTATCTCGGACCCCGGGCTTCTCCGCACCTCCTGTGCCATGCCCCTGATCCGCGCCACCGCCCACCACGCACGGGGACTAGAGTTTCCTAAGTGGCCTCACTCTTAGCCAGCACCCCTTTTCCACGGGACAGCCAGGATGCTCTTTTTGAACAAATGTCAATTAAATCACTGGTGTGTGTTTGTTTTCCTGCTTACTGCCTTTCCCGGCTAAGGGCCTGTAAGACCCTGTGTGAAGTCCCTTCTCTGTCTTCCTTCTGCTCCCTGCTCCTCCACCCCCAGCACCTCCATTCCCCTGCTTCCAGCCACGCCGGTTCTCCGACTAAAGGATTTGCACTTGCTGCCTGGACGCTCCCTCCCAGTGACGCCTCAGCGAGGCCTTTCCCACCACCTCAGCCGGCGGTGCCCCCCTCCCCCCACGAACTGTTTCCCTTCTCACACTTGTCTTCAATGATCTTTGTGTGTCTGTCGGTTAGCCAACCCTCCTTTCTGGGATGTCAGCTCTATGTACCCCAGGACGCTTGTCTGTCCCAGTAGGTGCTCAGTACAGTTTTGTTGGATGACTGGCCCAAGGTCACAGGACCGTGGTGGTGGAGACCGGACATCTGCAGACCCGGCCTTTGGGCGCTCTGCTCCAGCTGTCACTGTTTAGAGACACCTGCGGCCCGGGGCGCCGGCGGGTAAACAAAGGCAGGTGTTGCGAGGGGGCGGGGAGGCAGGAGGCGCCCTCTCGGCCCTCCACGCCCCCCCCCGAGGCCCCGCCTCCGCCCCAACACTCCCCTCCGCCCCGCGTCCGGCCGCCCGCAGCCCGCTCCCGCCGCGCGGGGCGGAGGGCGGAGCGCGGGGCGGCCGTCGGGGCGCATGGACGGGCCCGGGGCGCGGGGCCCGCGGCGCCGCCATGAGGAAGCAGAGCGTGCGCACGGCCGCGCTCGTCCTGTGCATCCTGTCCTACCTGCTGGTGGGCGCCGCCGTCTTCGACGCGCTCGAGTCCGAGGCGGAGCGCGGCCGCCAGCGGCTGCTGGCCCAGAAGCGCGGCGAGTTCCGGAGGAAGTACGGCTTCTCGGCCGAGGACTACCGCGAGCTGGAGCGCCTGGCGCTGCAGGCCGAGCCGCACCGCGCCGGCCGCCGGTGGAAGTTCGCCGGCTCCTTCTACTTCGCCATCACCGTCATCACCACCATCGGTGAGCGCCCCGCGACGCCCTCGCCCCCCGCCCCCCCCGGGCTCGAACCCCTCCTCTGCCCCTGCCCGTCTGGGTGGCTTCGGACCAGTCATTTCAGCCGCCCTCCGCCCAAGGGCCCGGCGTCCCACGCGGGCGGGGCTGGGAGGAGTCGGGAGCTCAAGTTCGCCCAGAGGTGGCACGCGGGAGTGCTCAGGAAACCTCCGGGGGCAGGGAGACAGATGGAGCGGGGCGAAGCGCCAGTGTCTGGAGACCGAGGCTTCCTTGCCTGGCTGCATCACCCTAGCTGTGTGACCTCAGACAAGTTGCTTAACCTCTCTGAGCCTCGATTTTCCCCTCTGTGAAGTAGGGCTGCTAATAGGCCTTATCTCAGGGCTGGGCTGAGATAATTATTGTCAAGGAGATAATGTATGCAGAAAGTTTTAGCGCAGGGTCTGACACATACAAAGCACTAAGAAAGATTGATTTTTGTATTATAATTATTCTGTTACTCCATGAAACGGGATCTAGTCTGTCTTGGTCACTGCAGTGTACCCAGCCTAGCGCATAGTAGACACTCAATAAATATTTGTTGAAGGAATGACTGATTACCACAAGCTTTGGACCTCACCCTCAGGGATCCAGAGCAGTTTCTCTGCAGCATCTGGACCGTGAGCCGTTGCCATGGCTACCGTCTGGCTGGTACCTGCTGAGCAGAAGCCTAGAGAAGCAGGAAAGGAGAGAAGCAGGAAAGGAGAGAAGCTGGCTCTGCAGGGCTCCAGGCTGGGTGTCAGCTGCTTCCCAGGTCCCAGCTGTGGATGTCTAGGCATTCCCCCCCTCCCCCCGGCTTGGATCACCACTCTGGAAGTCTGAACATTGGAGAAAGTTTTTTTCATAATGCCCTTGCAAGTGGATGTGAGCTGTGGGTTAAAAGCCTGAGTTCTGCAATTACCTAGCCCAGAGTTCCATTCTCATCTCTGTTGCCTCCTGTCTTCTCTGGCAATTGGATGTACCTCTCTGAGCCCTAGTTTTCTCGACTGCAAATGCAGTTCTTGCTACCTCACTGGGTGGTTGCCAGGTTTAAATGAGGTCAAGTGTGTAAAATGCTTGGCACGGTGCCTGAGGCTAAATGGGCACTATTCATTAGTAATAATAACAATTCACTGTTTGCCAGCTGTGGGCCCAGCTCCCATTCAGCCCTTTATGCCCTCTCCTGTCAACATGGGCACCCCTGCTTCCCTACCTGGGCTCAGCCCAAGACACTTCCTGTTGCCGTGCCCAGTGGGTGGGACCCCATCCACCTCTTCTGCCCACCCTCACGCTATCTGGAGACAGCTGGAGCTCAGTTTGGTCTTCTCTGCCGGTGGTTCCTCGCTGGCATCTGGGAGCCTGGGGAAAGGGACCTACTAAGTGGAAATAGCCAGAGTTTTGCCTTTTCTGGCCACCTGGGGGCGCCAGCTTGAGCCGTGTGATCCGAGCTGCATAAGCCAGCCTTGCAGAGGGCCTGGCGCCAGAACCCAGGAGTTAGAGCTCTGTATGGATGGGAGAGGCACTGAGAAGCCGGAGGAGAGTGGTTAATGGCTCAGGCCCTGTGACCTTTGGGCAGCTTCCTCTCTCTGAGCCTCAGTTTCCTTCTTTGCAAAATGGGGGTAATAGTATCATCCCATACAATTATTGGGACGGTAAAATAATCTATGCAGAGTACCTAGCATGCTTAGTTATTATCATTGTTCGCTTCACTCTGTCAAAGCCCGATATACCCCCGAACAGCTGGACACAGCACTGCCGGGCCCCTTACTGCCAAAGAGGCTCCTCTGTCTCACGCTCAGCACCCCCTTCAATTTGATTTGATTACTGATGATGATCATTATTAAACATCCATTGAGCCCTTAGTCTGTGTCAGGCTCTGTGCAGGGCGCTGGTGACTAGGGACACAGAGAAGTGATTGGCATGGTCTCTGGCCGCAAGGAGCTCCCCCAATAGCAGATGGAGGCAAAGTGATAGGGCCATCCAACAGAAATGTGGACGTGGAGCCATAGGGCTTTAACAACATGTATTGTGTTGATATTCTGAATGAATTATATGTGCGCACAGCACACGCACCTCACGGTACAAAAGAGTATAGAATGAAAAGGAAGTCTCCCTCTTACCCTGTCTCTCAACCCATAAATTCCTTTCCCTGGATTAAATACAGTTACCAGTTCTTTGTGCATCCTTCCAGATACATTCTCTGCCTATGTGTTCCTTTAAAACACACCCATTATAGAGACCTTAGCTTGTATACACTATTTGGTCTCTTGCTTTTTTTCACCTCATATTTTTTGGTGATTAAAAAAAAAAATCCCTAAAAAGCTTGGGGCACCTGGGTGGCTCAGTCAGTCAAGTGTCAGACTCTTGATCTCAGCTCAGGTCTTGATCTCAGGGTCATGAGTTTGAGCCCTGCGTTGGGCTACTTGGGGAAAAAAAAAAAAAAAAAGCCATGTCATTCTTTTCCATGGCTGTAGAGTGGGGTTTCTTGACCTTGGCCCTATTGACATGCTGGACTGGATGACTCCGTTGAGGGGCTGTCCTGAGCATGGCGGGCGGTTTAGCAGCAGCCGTGGCCTCCAGCCGGTAGTTGCTGGTAGCGCACAGCCACCGCCTCCCAGATGTGACAACCAGAAGTGTCTCTAGACATTGGCAGATGTTCCCCTTGGGGACAAAATTACCCCCGGTTGGAGCCACTGCTGTGTAGGGTTCTGTCATTTGGTTGGCACCACGATTTATTTCACCAGACCCCTCTCGATGGACACGTACGTTGTCCAGTTTTCTCCGTGAGCAGCGATGCTTCGGGGACGCCCCACGTGCATACCTCACTTTGCACACACATGTGTGCTTTGTAGGACTAACTTGCTCACCGTGGAACTGCACGGCTCAAGGGTTTGTGTGTTTACATTTTGGCAGATGGTGCCCATTTGCTAGAGGAGGTGTGTTCTTTTGGGGGAAGGTCCACCTGACTTTTCCTGGGTTATGCGCCCCTTTAAGAATACCAAGAAAGTTTTCGCTCCTCTCTCCAGGAATGCTCATTCCCCGGCGATGGCACAGTGGTCCAGGATTCAAGGACGCCCACTCACGTGTAGGTCCCCTACAACAGGAAAGAATTGCTACACCAGACTGAAGAAGTGCTGAGTGGGGGCTGGCTTGGAGCAGGATGTGGGAAGGAGAAGTGGACCAGCGGGATGGGGGGAGAGAGCGATCCAGGGGAGGAAAAACCTTGAGAAGAGGTATGGGGAGGTGGGACATGCGGGTTGGGGAAGCAACATGGGGCGAGGCTGGACGGGGGAGCGGAGTCAGATCACCAAGGAGCTCGGATGCTACGTGAGAACTGGTACTGGGGCACCATGGAAGATTTTGCTTTATTTTTAAATCAAGGCATAATTTACACACAGTGAAATGCACCATTTTCCAGTGCAGCAGCCTTCTGGGAGCTTTGACAAATGAAGGCCTGTCAGGCAACTGCAGCCGCCACCAAGACAGAGTAGGCTTCCGTCACCCCCAAATTTGTCTTGCCTCTTTCTGGTTACCTACCCCCTCCTCCAGCCACCACGGCTGGCAACCACAGATCTGCTCTCTGTCCCCACAGTTTTGCCAGAATGCTTGCAGAATGCCATTTCAATGGAACCATGCAGTATGTAGTCTTTTGAGCTTGGCTTCTTTCACTCGGCATAAGGCAGCTTAGATCCACCCTTTGTGGCGGCAGGTAACCCTAGTTCATGCCTTTCTGTTCTGCACAGAACTGCATTGTACGGATGTACCGCCGGTTGTTTATCCTTCCCCGGCTGAGGGACGGTGGGCTGTCTACCATTTGGGGCGATTAGGGATACCCACGCCGTGTTTCAAAGGCAGGGGATGACCTAGTTAGAAGCAGCATTTCAAGATGCTGCGCTGGCTCCGGGGCTGGGGAGGGAGGCCGGGCAGGGCGGCCGCGGCCGGCGCTCACCAACCCCCTCCCCTCCACTCTCCCTCCAGGGTACGGCCACGCCGCGCCGGGCACGGACTCGGGCAAGGTCTTCTGCATGTTCTATGCGCTCCTGGGCATCCCCCTGACGCTGGTCACCTTCCAGAGCCTGGGCGAGCGCCTGAACGCGCTGGTGCGGCGCCTCCTGCTGGCGGCCAAGCGCTGCCTGGGGCTGCGGCGGCCGCGCGTGTCCACCGAGAACATGGTGGTGGCCGGGCTGCTGGCGTGCGCCGCCACCCTGGCCCTCGGGGCCGCCGCCTTCGCGCACTTCGAGGGCTGGACCTTCTTCCACGCCTATTACTACTGCTTCATCACGCTCACCACCATCGGCTTCGGCGACTTCGTGGCGCTGCAGAGCGACGAGGCACTGCAGAGGAAGCCGCCCTACGTGGCCTTCAGCTTCCTCTACATCCTCCTGGGGCTCACGGTCATCGGCGCCTTCCTCAACCTCGTGGTCCTGCGCTTCCTGGCGGCCAGCACCGACGCGCCCGAGCGCGCCGCCCGCCGTCCCAGCCCGCTCCGCCCGGGGGCGCCCGAGGGCCGCGGCCGCTCCCCGCCCCGCCGGCCGGCCCGCGCCCGGGGCTCCACCTCCGTCTCCTCCCGCGTGCACCAGCTGCAGACGGGGGCCCGCGACAACCTGGGCTTCTCGCCCCCCTCGAGCCCTCGGGCTGTGGCCGACGGCTGCGGGGCGGGCAGGCCCCCGGCCCGGCGCAAGTCCATCTGACAGCCCAGCTCTGGGCGGGGCCCGGGGTCACCTGTCAGTGCACCCTCCCCAGAGCCTGGAGAGGGCTGGGCGGCCGTGGCCTCAAGGCCGTCTTCAGCCACGGGCAGTCTGTCCTTCCCCTCTGTGGCCAGCCCCTCGCTCCTCTCCCAAAATACATTAAAGCCGCACCAAAGCACAAGCGCGACTCCCAAGTCACCCTGTAG